TCAAGAACCTTTAACGAACCTATAGATGTTTTAAACCATTATCTGATCATCGAAGACATAATAATATATAGCGTACAGTATGACTCGTATGACTTGAAATATTTTTAAAGAATCCTGTAAATCCTGCGTCCAATGCGGTTTTCAAAATTTTTAATTAAAATATTTATTTTCTGCAACTTCTAGAACGTACAAAGTGAAAACTAGAATTTTCAAAAAAAACAGCTCGCAAACAAAGTTATAAACAATTACATGCGTTTCTGTATAAATATCGATACATCCGTCCTCCTTGATTAGTCACAGGTTTAAAGGATACTGTAGTGAATCGAACACGCCACTTTAAAGGGAGTGTTCACGAAAAATGAAAGGGGGTATAGGTTTACGGCGAAAAATAAGCGCTTTTGATCGCTACTAATATTACTTCTATCTGTTGCGTATATAAGGAGAAAATTGTTAAAAACGACTAATACCGAAGAACGTAGTGTCCATACAAATTCAGAAAGATGCAACAATCAACTCGGATTGTAAACAAATCAATTTAGTTCCAAACAAATCATTCAGATATTAAAAACAATAGTCATCGATTATTTTTCGAAGCATTATAGTTAATATTTCATAATATTTGTGATTTTTTTTTTTTTTTAAATAATTTTCGTTGGCGCTGGATTTTCGAAAAATGTCGTCTTCATTATCAAAAAAATGTTTTCAAAAGTAACTCTCAGATCATGAAAAATACAAAATAAAATGAAATATCAACTATTTACGAATGCGTCGAAAAATGATCGATGACTATTGTTAGTAATATCTGAATGATTTGTTTGGAATTAAATTAATCAAAAGCGCTTTTTATCGCATTAAGCCTATACCCCCTTTCATTTGTCGCGAACACTCCCTTTAAGATCAAATTTAAATTTGTACAGATAATTTAGCCAGTTTCGCGGTTTTTGCGAATAAGAACTCTAATTTCAATATATTGTATATGTTAAAAATATCAGGTGTATAGTAGAGGGAACTCTAGATGGTTTAGAACCCGGAGAACATGGTCTAGCTGTCCACGAGGCTGGAGATGTTAGTAGAGGATGTCATAGTCTCGGAGATCATTATAATCCAAGGTTGGAAATTATCTTTTAAATCATGATTATAGATGATAGCAGAGCAGATAACTAAGTTTTAACCACAAANAGAAGGATGATTGTGGGGGGGCGAATTTTTAATATTCTCTGAATTTTAAGAACTGATTTATCAACTAATTCAATTATACCATTCTTTAAAAAAAAGGTCAATAGAATAGTTATTTTTTTACACTACGTAATCTTTGTAATGTTAAAGTGAAAAGAAAAATTTTAGCACTCTAATGGAATGAGTAATTTTATATTTGTGTAAATTATTTATTTCAAATAATAAATTGTTAGCGATCATGGCCGAGTACTTTAACTTCAAAGCTAAATTTTAAATTTCACAGCCTTTCATGACATGAAGTGAAAAGAAAAATTTCAACACCTGAATGGAATGAATAACTATATTTGTGTAAATTATTCTTTTCAAATAATGAATTCTTAGCGATCATGGCCGGGTACTTTAACTTAAAAACTAAATTTTAAATTTCGCAGCCTTTTATGACATTCCTTTCATCTCCTTTCTAACTATTTATTCATAATAATTTGTTTTCAAACTTCATTAATTATAAGTTTACAAATTTTAAATCAAGATTTAAATACTTTTATGAAAATGAAAAATAAGAAAAATTATTTAATGTGAGTTATGTGACGTGTAACAGCGAAAGTACATATATTCAGCTTGGCGTAAATGTGTCGAAATACTTAGTTTAGAGTTATATTTGTTTAAAGAAAGCTCAGGATCAAGAAGTTGCATGGATGCACTGCTCCCCCCTCCTCTCCATATCGAGGTCTGCATCCTGCTTTCGGCAAAGAACCACCCAACTAAACTCCGTTTTAACTAGACTGCGTTTGTCAAACAAATATCTGTTTATTTTGTCCTGAAGATTGCTAAAAAAAAATCATTTTTTTGTATACACTAAAAAATTCAAAAATTGTGTAAGGGATTTAATCAAGATATTTATCTATCTATCTTATATTTGCTATATCTATAGCATCTGTCTAACTGCTATCTATCTATCTATTTAACCCAAAATATAATTCTAGACATGAAAGCTGAGACTAGGCCTATAGACCAGGGTTAAAGAGAGTAAGAGAAGGAAGGAGGGGGGCTTGCAAATATTTTAAAGATATAAATAAAAATATTTTCCACTTAGAAATATAGAAATGGAATAAAAGCTTTAAGACTCGTCTCAACCCCCCCACCTTAGTTTGTTTACATCCCCTCTGTTGTGCCCAGACTTGAGCTTGTTATTCCCTGCAGTTGACCGACATAGCTCCGATAAAACGAACAAAAACGAAACGAACAACGCAACAAATTTTGAATAAAAGTTTGATCTTGCAAAACTATTCTGACACTTTTTACAATGCAAAGAAGTGCTCATTTGAATACTGAATTTTAAATACTAGTCGGAAAAGTTAAATTTCTCAAATCCGAAAATAAAAAGATGTGTGAGGATGAAACCAGAGGCTCGTGTTGTGAAATCATGCAAAACGCAGGGGACGTTTTTAATAGTTTGGGGCGAATAATAACGGTGAGTATAACGTACTGCTTGCACGGGAGGAAAATAAACAAAAAAACAGCGTCAAGGTTTCCACATCAAATGCTTTGAATAAGTCTAAGATTGTTTTTACATTTTTACATCTGCTTAACAATAAACTTAACTAGAAATACAGTTTAAAATTAAAATTATTTTAAATGGTTCTTGCCGGCCGTTTTGAAGCCTTGAATTAAATATTTTTGAAGATAACGGAACAAAACGTATCTTTCGATGCTTTTATGATCCTGATTTTTAAATTGAGATTTAAAAAATTTTAGATTCTTATGTATATCTCATTGCTAGCTATATTCCTAGTCATAGCTTTCCCAATTTTTCCCACTCTTACATGTTATGTTCAAATTTAATAAGTTATCGAGCGCGAGAATTCAATTATTACTTTTTTTTCAACTCGCACTTTAATAATTGTAATTATTCGTTCAATATTAGATACATTAGACTTAGATTACTTTCCCTGTAGAACCTGAAAAAAACAGAACGTGAAGGTTTAAACGTAGTGCAACTTAAAATAAATAACAAAACTCTAGATACGCAATTTATCATTACTGTGAGAAAAATTATGTACTAAACGTTTGATGCCTTTGCCAATGCCATACAGATAAGAAATTTTTGAGTGAAATCAAGTAGTTGCATGGATTCATTTATCATTTCCAATTCCATCCTGCATTCATGCTTTATCATTTTCAATTCCATCCTGCAGCCATGCTTTATCATTTCCTATTTCATCCTGCAGCCATTCTTTATCATTTCATATTCCATCCTACAGCCATGCTTTATCATTTTCAATTCCATCCTGCAGTCATGCTTTATCATTTCCTATTCCATCCTGCAGCCATTCTTTATCATTTCATATTTGGATAATTTAGAAACGTTTTTTTTCAATAATTTAACACGTTTTTTTTGATCTGATAACTGTAACCTTTGATATTTCAAACGTTAACTATTAGATCTAGCAGTATTTATAGTTTGAAATATCAAAGGTATACACTATCAGGTTACAAAGATAAAATGAAAAAAATAGAATTGAAAGCAAGTCTCCAGCTTTTCAAGGATAGATAAACAAATTAAAAAATGAATTAAAAATCAAGAATGAAAAGAAACGATAGTAAAATGATTTTTGGATAAGAGTATTTGTGTGGATGAGTAAATGTATGGATAGAAAAGATAGAAGAATGATTGTGTGGATGAGTAAATGTATGGATAGAAAAGATAGAAGAATGATTGTGTGGATGAGTAAATGAATGGATAGAAAAGATGGAATAATGATTGAGTGGATGAGTAAATGTATGGATAGAAAAGATGGAAGAATGATTGTGTGGATGAGTAAATGTATGGATAGAAAAGATGGGTTGTGTGGATGAGTAAATGTATGGATAGAAAATATGGAAGAATGATTGTGTGGATGAGTAAATGTATGGATAGAAAAGATGGAAGAATGATTGTGTGGATGAGTAAATGTATGGATAGAAAAGATGGGATAATGGTTGTGTGGATGAGTAAATGTATGGATAGAAAATATGGAAGAATGATTGTGTGGATGAGTAAATGAATGGATAGAAAAGATAGAAGGATGATTGTGTGGATGATTGTGTGGATGAGAGGATGGGTGGAGCATGAATTAATGAATTGATGAATAGATGGATGGCTGGATGGATTAGAGGCTGTTGGATTGGTGGCTGGAGGCTCTAAAACCTCTAGTCGGACACACCCCGGCCTCCGTCCTACCCTATCCTCTACACTCCTCTATTCATTTATACAATCTATATAATCAGCTAATTAGTCCCAACTAGTTTAATCAGTGTCGTTAGTGTAATAATCTTGTTTACAAAACAAACAGTGCAGTGTACTCTATATAAATAATCCAGTGTGATTCAATATCTTCCGGGCCCAACCCTGCTCAGTTTACAGCCAACCAGAGATTTAGTCCAGTTTTACCAGTCCCAACCATTGTTCAATCATCCTATCTTTTATAGACTTATCCTGGCTTATTCTTATTCATTCATCCTACAGTTCTTATCCAATCCATCCTATATTTTTTTTCATCCAATGAATCATTTTTCATCAAATACAAATTTGTTGTAAACAGCCCATCATTATTTCTGCTGTCCAACTCCTTTTTATTCGATATTTAACCATTCTTTCCAACTTTCATATTAATTCTGGCCAATCCATTTATAACAAATCTTCTATTAAGTTCTCAGCTAGACATTTTAAAAAAGAATTACATTTTTGTAACAAATGATATAATTTTCCGTTAAGAACTCGTATTAGTGCTAATAGTAATATTATATACATAATATATAAGAATCAATGATACTGATCCCTCTTAATCATTCGGTTTAATAAATAGAAATAAAATGAAATAATAACAACATTTAAACAATGGTGACAGAAACCGCCCCTGTCGTGAAAGTAAGTTTTCATCCCAACAACAAGAAGTGGTATTTCTAAAAATGTCCATAAGATTAAGATTACTTAAAAAATCAATGATAGTTAGGAAAGCTAAACACACAATCCCCCCGGGTCCCGGCCCACCCCTCAAACTGAAGCTATTAACAATAAATTCATCTAATTTTTCTTTTCCCCCCGTCCATACTTTTTAACCCGCCTCGCAATATATCTCTATATAGTAAAGCTCTTAACTCATATATATATATAAGTTAGCTATGTTGGCCAAACGGCTGGGGGTAACAGAGACAAAAATAATTCGATTTTTTCCTAAAATCAGTTTTTTTTATTTTCTCGTTCAACGCCGTTCACTTTAGCAAGTATACTTTATGGATATGTNTGCATAGGACTGAAAATTAGATTAAGGTTTTTCGGAAATATTCTACGTTAAATTAAGAAATGACCATTTTCAAACCAAACAAATGTTTGAAAAACTCTTAACTATATAAAGAATTCTAATTTGAAGACTATAAACAACAGTTTCGATGTCTCATCTAAAGAATTTCGTTTCTTTCTAGACAAAAAAACTCCCAATTATTTCTAACATGAAACCTTTTTTTTAGTCCGACGACAGCGCTTCGTTTCTGCGAGCAGCGCGAGGTGGAAATACTGAAAAGGTTTCTGAATATCTCAAGAACGGAACAGACATCAACACCTGTAACGCGGTAAGAAAATCATTGATTAATAAAATATTCGTTAGATCAAATCAAGGTTGTAATGCAAGGAAAGTTAATTGCAGTTGCGTATACTCTGTGTACATATTGAAACCAGTTCTCTGTGGGCGGAATTTGAAAACAAGAATAGAAGCATCAGTGTCCTATTAGTATCCGAGGAAGTTCAAAGCATTACATTTTGATAATTCACATAATAGTTTCCTATGACTAAAATATTTCATTGATTTTTTATGTGAAAGATGGATCCCATGTCAGGCTTCGACACCCGTCTTGTGTTTACATTACCCGCCTATAGACAGTACACTGCAGTACAAAAGATGCGTACACCTCTGAAATAACTTTCCTTACATTATAACCTTGGATCAAATAATCAAATAACAATCAGTCTAATAAATTTGATTTAAATTATTGAAGCTTTTCAATCGATAAAGCCTGAAACCTATTAATCTAACCTCGAATTGATCAACTCTTTGAAAACTTTTCCCGAAGTTTGATATAATGACAAGATAACTTTTGTTACAACTTATTTGATAACGTTTTTTTTCATTAATTTGTTATTATTACAGAATGGGTTGAACGCACTTCATCTCTCCTCTAAAGAGGGTCACGTGCATATAGTTCAAGATTTGCTCGCAAGGGGAGCAAAAATCGATGCTTCCACAAAAAAGGTAAATGCTTTTCTTATTAGAAGGGTTTTAAAAATGTGTAAAATGTTGGTTAACAATTTTTTTCTTTCAGGGAAATACTGCACTTCATATTGCAAGCTTGGCTGGTCAAGAAGAGGTAATTTTACGTTTTTCCATTTTTAAAATATTTTTTTTTATATTGGTCGTTTGAAAGTCCTTTCTTTTAGAAGATACAACTTTTACTGAATTTGAAATAGACATTTAACGTTAAAACATTTGTCATTGTTCTATTTTATAAATATAAAAAGTTTTAGATGGCAGCATTTTAAAATGAACTAAAGGAACTGAGTCCTAGACACAAGCCTTTTATTTTCTAATCCCTATATTTCTGCAACCTAATGGTGTGAATCTTTGATATTTCATTCTTGCATAATACATATTTTAAAATATCTAAGGTCTACGACATAGGGTTGCACATATCAGAGTTAGTGGTAAAACTCAATTCCTTTAATATTTATAGTAGAACTCTTTTCTTTTGCAGTACAAATGGGTTCATAGTATCCTTTAGTTGAAACTATTTAAACTAAAATTACCGGCTTCAATACAAAGAAGGCCTATGTTGGTTGTTGAAGATAGCATGCAATATCGGATACTATCAGGGGATATCATAATCCAATATCTTTACTTTAAATTAATAATTCAGTCTTACAGAAACTAGGACAACAGAATATCAAATATTTTATCCACAATAAATTTATAGTATTAAAACAAATAAACTTGTCAAACTTTGTTGATAAGAATTGAGTTTTTTTGCCACAAACTCAAGTTTTCTAAAACCTTTATCTGAGCAACTTGATTGTATAAAGTATAAACCCTTGATATTTCAAACTTATATTATTTTATTTAACAGAATTCTTAGTTTGCAATATCAAACGTCACGACATTGGGTTGGAAAGATCTAGGGATTAGAAAATCAGAGTTTGTGGCAAAGACTCAATTCCTTTATACGCATTATTGAATCCCAGTGGTGTACGGAATAGTTCTTCATATTACACTGTACAGCGCTTTTGCCTAGGTTGTGAAGATTCTAGTTGCTCATTCTGCCAGTGTGAATGTGCAGTCCCAGAATGGATTCACCCCGCTTTACATGGCCGCCCAGGAGAACCATGACGGGGTTGTCAGGTGAGAGTTGGCAATGTAGCTATGTTATAGTTTTTAAAAAAACACAAATATCCTATGCGTGCATATTTGAGTTTATATTATCAAAGACAGAAATTCTATGTTTATGTTTATTTGTTGTACTTAAATATTTTAGACTAGTACACACAATACATATAGATATTACTACCTTTGATTTTGTTGAATGCAAAATATTTTAATGTAAAAGGCTCAAATAAATATTAAAACTTATTATATTGAAAGCAGGAACGTAATTATACAGAGGCTGAGAACTGGGGAATATATATTTTCCAAATAAAGTCAAAGGATCGGAATAAAAATGAGGGATATAATTTTAGATTAAAGAGAAATGAGTCTCAACTTTTCATTAATAGATCTCTTGTGAGGAACTATAATTAAACGGATAAAACTTTTTTCAAAAAAAATAAAGTTTTAATTTTTTATTTTATTTTAAGGTTTCTTCTTGCGAGTGGGGCGAGCCAGTCCCTTGCTACTGAAGATGGGTTCACTCCATTGGCTGTTGCCCTTCAGCAAGGACATGATAAGGTGAACAAATAAAACATAAACTAAGTAAACATTCAGCAATTATTCTAGCAAACTGTTTATCTTTCTTCCTTTCTGTTGTTTGTTCTGTCACTCTTTTCGATAAAAATAGATAAAGGAAAATGAAAATATTCTTAGCGTAGCATTTTATTTAAAAAACTGACTTGTTATTATTTTGTTGGTTATTTACTTATAATATTTGTAGGTTGTCGCAGTTTTATTAGAGAACGATACTCGTGGCAAGGTTCGCCTACCTGCGCTCCATATTGCCGCGAAAAAAGACGACACTAAAGCTGCTGCGCTTCTGCTACAGAACGATCACAACCCTGATGTCACGAGCAAGAGTGGGTTTACACCACTCCATATTGCTTCCCACTACGGAAATGAAAACATTGCTGCTGTTTTGCTCCAAAGAGGAGCAGATGTTAACTATTCAGCAAAGGTAAAGCAAACTCTTCAACTTAATAAAAAGTCCTTATCAGTCTAAGTCGATAAGTAAAAAAAGAATTGCATATTGCATCAATAAAAGTTTAATGGAGTACTGTATCTTTAGATAGTTTGTTTTAAATCAATCACTGAGATATAGTTATTGATAGAAGGAAATTATCCGCTTTAGTGCATTCAACAATAAAACTAAAGGTTTATTGAAAAATCTATGAGCGCCTAATTCAATATTTCATTTCATAGGTTTAAGTTGTTATAAACTAATTGTTTATTTCTTTTTTATGGGTTTTGATGCTAATGAAACCATTATGGAACTATGACGGTCTATCAACAAAATTTATCTCTTTTGCAAAAACTTTTTTAAAAAAGATTTAAGGAAATAACTTTATTTCAGCACAACATCACTCCTCTCCACGTGGCTGCTAAATGGGGTAAATCCAACATGGTTTCCCTTCTGCTGGATAAAGGAGCAAACCTGGAGTCAAGAACAAGAGATGGTCTTACACCCCTTCATTGTGCTGCCAGGTAAGGTCGACTATGAAAACAAAATGAAACTATAATTACGGTTTCTAAACACAATATTGAATAACCTTGAAAAAATATATTTTTTAAATAAGAAATAACAGCATAGTACACTGAATAATGCACATATATTTACTAATCTCGTCTCAATCGTTTATTTATACTTATCCAGTATTTATTCCTTTCCAAACTATTCTTGTGCATCCATTACATTTCTGAGTTAACCCAACTTCATCATTCATCCATTTATTTTGATTCATAATTAAAATTTAAGACGAAGAATAGTTATTTTTAATGACAGGATTCTAAGCAATGCTTAAAGTTTTGATAAAATGTGAACAATTTGCCCAATATATGTTGTATATTATAGTATATACACTACAGGATAGGTTTCGATATGAATTCCACATATTATTACGATAACTAGGTATATGTAAGATACCAATTTACTTGATTTTAGTTGAGACTTAAGCTTAAAGGTTTTTACCATAGTATTTTTGTATTAAAAGTTAAAAAAAGAATATTTGTTAAAGATCTGGTCACGAGAATGTTGTTGATATGATGGTACAGCAAGGTGCTCCTATCTCAGCAAAAACAAAGAATGGTCTTGCACCTCTGCACATGTCGTCACAGGTAGTGTTTTTTTAAAAACAAATATTTCAATACATCCTCCAATCCCTTTATTAGTTAATTAATAAAATTGTTGACAAAAACTCTTATTTAGATTTTTAGTCGCCCAGCCTAAACAAAAATTATTGCTTCTAGTTTTCAAAAAAATTAAATATTTTGGTGAATTATCTGATTTTAAAATGATTGAACTAATTGAACTAGTTCAATGAAAATAAATGTAATTATTTATGTATTTATGTATGTGTGTTCAGGGTGATCATGTAGATGCTGCCCGAATCCTCCTTCATCACAAGGCCCCGGTGGATGAGGTTAGTACAGTTCCGGATCTTCCCCTCCCTCCATAACAACATTTTTCTCCTATTCGATTTCTCCCTCTTAAAATCTTTATTCAATTCACCCACTCCCAATCCTGCCAAAATACCACTTTTCTACTCCTAATTCCTCAACTTACCCTCTTTAAAATTCCTCACTTCCTCCCTCCTCATCCCAGCATAGAAATCATAGAAATAAGACCGGACCGACTTTAAAGGATTGGAATGCATTTGCCCTTGGTAGGACGTTACCAACACACTTTTTATCTGTGATATTTGAAACTTAGATTTTTTAATTCAACAGATTTCATAGTTTTAAATATCAAAGGTCTACGACAGCGGGTTGCAAAGATATATTGAATAGAAAATCAGAGTTTGTGACAAAAACTCAATTCCTTTCCTGGTATCATTCCTTCCTCATCAAAATAAGAAAACTCTACATTGACTGAATTCTAGGTTACGGTAGACTACTTGACTGCCCTTCACGTGGCGGCGCATTGCGGTCATGTGCGCGTGGCTAAGCTCCTCCTTGACCGGAAAGCGGATCCAAACAGCAGAGCGCTCAATGGTTTCACTCCACTCCATATTGCCTGCAAAAAGAACAGGATCAAGGTAAAAGAAAAAAGATGTTGTTAAACTTCTAATAAATTAATCTCAAAGTATTGATTTAAATCAAACAAATCAAAAGAAGATTTTAGATATTTATATAAGTACTAAGTATGTATTATTTATTTGCTCTTAGTGGTATTGTACGCTACTTATTGTTGTGGACTGTATCCTTGCTAAAGAACAGAGCAATGATTTATAATTGTTTTGCCCCAGGTTGTGGAGCTATTGCTGAAGTACGGAGCAAGTATTGAGGCAACAACTGAATCCGGCTTAACTCCTCTCCATGTTGCATCCTTTATGGGATGTATGAACATCGTTATATACCTCATACAGCACCAGGTAAAAAAATAATCACCTGTATACATCACAGCCGTTTAATATTCGCGAGTTTTTCCTTAACTGAGAATAGAAGTGTTATATGCATGACATGATTAATCAGGAGATTTTTAGCATAACGTTTTTTAATAGATTCCTCCAAAAATATTCATAAATTGGTATGGGCCATTCGTTTGACACATCACATTGAAACCTAGGGTAAACCATTTACATCTGACGAATATTTTGTTTCTAGGCTAGCCCTGACGAGGCAACTGTGCGCGGAGAGACACCTTTACATTTAGCAGCGCGCGCCAACCAGACGGATATCATCAGGATTCTCCTCAGGAATGGAGCTAAAGTTGACGCTACTGCCCGGGTAGGTTAAGATGTGTAGATTAAAATGTTCAAAAGAATTAGGAGTTAGTACTTTATAAATGTAATCTGTAATTTGCATAGTAAGAGGTAATTAGAAAAACTAGAAACAGTTTTATCCATCTTTAAAACATTGATGTTATGTCACAACATATCTCCCTGAATCAGATAATAGCGATGAAAACTTGTTAAACAAACTAATAATTTAATTGGTCAGAGTTTAAATTTAAATATATTTACTGGGGAAATTATCAAATAGAACCCGTACAAGTACTCTAATTCTATAGTTTAACACCGGATATACCCTGGACAGTTTTAGTTCTTTCTAATTTTCCAGGCACTAATTTATTTTCTTCATCTCTTCAGAGCCAGGTTGAAGATATATTACAACAGCAATTTTAATCAAGTAAATTAAATTTGATCACCATATTATGATATTTCTCATAATCTAGTCCGTGATTGTAAGTGACACTTCATGTAAAGAGGGGGGTGCTCGATTTACAACTGTACCCTTTAAAACTTTTGTCTGTTCATCGAGTACAGAGATCGCTGTGTTTAGATTTATCGAAAACCGCTTGGATTCCTGTAAAATCTGGCATAGCTTTTCTGTGAATATTTCATTCATTTATATTGATTCAGGAGCAACAGACCCCGCTTCACATTGCCTCCAGACTCGGGAACGTGGATATTGTTGTTCTTCTGCTTCAGAGTGGAGCTAAGGTTGGTATTTGATAACATGTGTAAAGTGGAGCTTAGGTTAGTATCTGATATAATATGTAAAGTACTATAGTGGAGCTAATGTTGGTGTCTGATATAATATGTAAAGTACTATAGTGGAGCTAAGGTTGGTATCTGATATAATATGTAAAGTACTAGAGTGGAGCTAAGGTTGGTATCTGATATAATATGTAAAGTACTAGAGTGGAGCTAAGGTTGGTATCTGATATAATATGTAAAGTACTAGAGTGGAGCTAAGGTTGGTATCTGATATAATATGTAAAGTACTAGAGTGGAGCTAAGNTCCGCCCATAAAACATGGTGGGGATTGTTAACGAGGATATTATGGGGAAAAATAAAAATATGATCCTACAATGTAGTTATTTTTTTTCTTTAAAATGTTCAAAGCATTACCATGAATGAAAAATCTTGATTAATTGTCAAAACTCTAGGTTGCATCTATCTTGTTGGAACATGGTGCCTCAATGTCCTCAACTACTAAAAAAGGATTCACTCCACTACATTTAGCGGCGAAATATGGAAATATTAAAGTTGCAAAGTTGCTGCTTGGAAAGGTAAGACAAAAAATTTGTTAGATGAGGACTTTTCCAAAAATTAGGAAATGAGTATTTTGTCTTTTATACTTCCTGGACTAAAGTTATAAAATTAAAACACTTTTTGATTAAGTATTCTCAAAAAAAGTTTTAAATTGGAAGTTGGAACACTTTATTCATGGATATATAGTAAATATTTCCATTTGTGTAATCTAGGAGACCGAGGTAGATGCCGAGGGGAAGAATGGTGTGACCCCCCTCCACGTGGCAGTCCACTACGACAACACAGCCCTCGCCCTGCTTCTCCTGGAGCGGGGTGCATCTCCTCATGCTGCTGCTAAGAACGGTTACACACCTCTTCATATATCCGCTAAGAAGAACCAGCTGGATATTGCCAGGTAAAAGACCCAAAATTATAATTATTTTCTATTTTTGTTAAAATCAAAGAAACTTCAAATTAAATATAAATAAATTTAATTCGGTTCTGACACTTTTTATTAGTTACTGTAGACTGAGGTGAGTAAATGTTTTAACATTTGTTTATATTTAAGAACCTTGCTCGAATATGGTGGAAAGGTGAACTCAGAGTCAAAGGCCGGGTTTACGCCTCTTCATTTGGCAGCTCAAGAAGGACATATTGAAATGGCGGAGCTGCTGGTCAAGGCGGAGGCGGAGGTTAACAACAAGGCAAAGAATGGATTGACTCCTCTCCATCTGTGTGCCCAGGAGGATAGGACAGAGGTTGCTAGGTTACTGGTAAGCCAGCCTCGTTTGTGTCAATTAATGTCGGGAGTAATTCATAGTTTGAACAGATACGTTAATTCATAGTTTGAACAGATACGTTAATTCATAGTTTGAACAGATACGTTAATTCATAGTTTGAACAGATAAAACCTATCGTTGTTATGTTTCAAAACATTATATTTTAACTTCTTATTATTCTTTCCTATACTCATTGATTTTTAACAGTTTTGCTTGGTTTTCCCTTGTAGCACACAAGGCTATGAAATTACTTAACAAATTAATTATTTTGTACAATCTCTATATTGTCTAAATTATCTGATCATAGCGTGGGATTCTAAACGAGCAAATTATTACTGATCATAAGGTTTTTAGAATAAGTAACGCTTGCCAAAACATATAAAAACATTTGGAAACATTTCCATCTGATCTGGGATAAAACTTGGAGGCCCTGAATCTAATAATCATCAAGTCATGAAAGGAATTGAGTCTTTACCACAAACTTAGGTTTTCTTATCCCAATATCTTTGCAATCTGATGATGTAAATTTTCGACATTTCAAACTTAGACTTTTTTATATAACAGTATTTACAGTTTGAAATATCGAAGGTCTACGAAGTCGGGTTTAAAAGAAGTAGGGATTAAACATTTGAGTTGTTGGCAAGAACTCATTAGCTGTGAATAGCGTTTGTTTCACATATTTAGTGTGGGAATTGTGTTTTATGTGTTTATTAATTATAAGGACTGGATAAAATGAAAATACAGCATAGAAATAATAAGTCAGTTATGCTGGCAGGATTTAATTAATGTTCCAGCAATCATTGCATGATTAAAATCGGCGTAAATCTTTTTGTTTGTTTTCACTTTTCACAAATAACATCACTGGACAGTGAGCAGTGCACACTTTTAAACTACAAATATTTTGAAAGATAAATATTCAAGAAGTTGTCAGTACTTCTCGGCAATAAGTTTGTTCTCTAGCTGAGAACAGTAGTTATTTTATGAATTTCTCCACAAAATTGGTAAACAAAAAGCGCACTCGCCACAAACTCTAATTTTCTAATCCCTATATCTTAAATATTTCAAATATATTAAGATGTATACATTATACTTCCAGCCACCTACCTCCCTTCCCTTGCCCCCTCGACATCTCTTTTGTGTTTTCTGAAGGATTAGGAAAGTTGCGGACATTTTCCGCAAGATGGATTCTACATCTTTTATTTTGTTCTTCATCGACCACTCCACCTTCCCACCCTCCAAAAACCTCCTTTCCACCCTCCACCCTACAGCAATGTTTTAATCTGGATATAGTCGCAACATTTAAATACATTCCATGAAGCTATCAAGTGGGGAAATTAGTGCCCACTTCTAACAATGAGTGTTAGAAATGGTCCAAGTGTTAGTTTTGGAACTAATGTCCCCTAAAGTTGCGGTTCACATTTATTTTTAGAATTTAAATACCAGAATGTATACACTACACGACATTACGTCACCAGTTTCAGCATACTACGAAAAACACTAAAAATCGATTTTTGCAAATTTAATAAAAATATTTTCCACCATTCCAACTAACATGCAATGCCGACAACGAACTGATCTTATTTTTTTTTTTTACAAGATCTATGTAAATATCGTAGAAATATAAATTCAATTAACATTATATGCTTGGAAAAATTGATACTTTGGGAAAGAATATCTGTACATAACAAATGACATTTTTGCAACATTATATTAAAACGCTTGCCAGAACTGACTAGAATGGATTTGGCATTGATGAGAATTGAATTATCTGTGTTCTAGGTTGACTCTGGAGCTGAATGTGACAATGAGACCAGAGCAGGATACACTCCTCTTCATGTTGCTGCTCACTTCGGGCAGATCAACATGGTCCGGTACCTTCTCAGCCAGGGAGTTCGTGTAGATGTTCAAAATGAACTTGGATACACACCTCTTCATCAGGTATACTTTTCATCTAGTTTCATTGAATATGATTCATTAGTACAAACTAGATATTTGAAATTTAATTATGATTATTAACGTACAAGGTAACTCAAAACTAAGTGATTTTTTTCTGTTCAGAAACGTTATTCTATAAAGATTTTGATGTTGATAAAAATACATTTTATTTGGAAAATTTATTTATTTTGTTTATTTATCGTTTAGAGTTTAATGCATATATGTCATCTGACTGCTGAACTAATAAATCTAAACTTTAGAGCAATATTTCTCGTTCAAATTTTAAATAAAACAGATTCAAAAATTATATTATGATATCATCTGTTTATTGCAATTTTAACTTAAAAATATCGGGGATTTTGCCGTTTAAAAAAAGTTAAGCCAGGATCCAAAGTAAAGCAATCATGGGAATAACAGAGGTAAATGATGAAAAAGAGATATTTTTTCACAGGAAGTTTCAAAATTCGAATATTTTTCTATCACTTGCACTTTGTACAATTTAAGATTGTTTTAATCCAAAAATTTCCCCCAGGCTTTTGAATGGATAGTTTGAGTATCTGAATAAGTTCGTGCTAATCTAATATTTCTGATGTTTAGGCCGCCCAACAAGGACACAGTCAGATTGTGAACCTACTTCTGGAATCCAACGCTTCACCGAACCAGATTTCAAACGTAAGACTTAGATTAAAATATCGTTTATCATGTTCGTTCGATTTAAAATGATAATCATATTCCTGTAATATAGGTCTTTGTTATGTAAATGTCAAGTTTTTAAGCGCTACTTAATATAACAAAACTTGAAAAGTGAGGATTTTATTTGGAAAGGAATTGAGTTTTAGCCACAAATTCTGATTTTCAAATCGCTTTATCTTTGCAACCTGACGGTGTTGAACTTAAATAATTAATAGTTTGAAATATCTAAGGTCTCTGACATTAAAATACAAAGATATAGGGATAAGAAAATCAGAGTTTGTGACAAAAACTCAACTCCTTAAATGAGGTATTTTTACGCATCTTCATTCTTATACGTGTACATATGTCGTCTCGATATGTGTTATTACTGAAGAACCAAACGGGAGAGAATATGTTTTATTACTGAAGAACCAAACGGGAGAGAATATGTTTTATTACTGAAGAACCAAACGGGAGAGAATATGTTTTATTACTGAAGAACCAAACAGGAGAGAATATGTTTTATTACTGAAGAACCAAACAGGAGAGCATATGTTTTATTACTGAAGAACCAAACGGGAGAGAATATGTTTTATTACTGAAGAACCAAACGAGAGAGAATATGTTTTATTACTGAAGAACCAAACGGGAGAGCATATGTTTTATTACTGAAGAACCAAACGGGAGAGAATATGTTTTATTACTGAAGAACCAAACGGGAGAGAATATGTTTTATTACTGAAGAACCAAACGGGAGAGAATATGTTTTATTACTGAAGAACCAAACGGGAGAGCATAATTTGTAAACAATGTTATGTTACTGATAATAATTTTTTCAACAGAATCCGACTACATTCATAAGAACATAAGAAAATAAATCAATCGGAAAAAGAAAAGAGGTATATGTACGTATAAGTATATATGTACATATCCGACGTATAAGTATATATGTACATATCCAAGTAAGTTTATGTTCAAAACAAAATATATTTTGATTGTTTAAATTTTCACAAAATGCGCAGCTTCTCAAAGATAACTTTTACATAAAAAGCGCGCTGGTTCGACTAAGAATTTATTTGAATTAGATATTCGTTTAGAATGGTCAGACTGCACTGAGTATTGCCCAGAAGCTGGGATATATCTCAGTAGTGGAGACTTTAAAGGTTGTCACAGATGAGGTAGGAATACCTACCTTCTTAACTATCTACTTACATCTACCTACCCACCTACATACCTTCTTAACTACCTACTTACATCTACCTACCCACCTACCTACCTTCCTAACTACCTACTTACATTTACCTACCCACCTATTTAACCACATATCTACCTTCCTAACTACCTATACTTACATCTACCTACCCACCTATTTAACCACATATCTACCTTTCTAACTACCTACTTACATCTACCTACCCACCTATTCAACCACCTTTCTACCTTCCTAACTACCTACTTACATTTACCTACCCACCTACCTGCCTATTAAACTACATAACTAATTACCTACCCACCTACCTGCCTATTAGACTACATAACTAATTACCTAACTACATACCTGCCTATTAAACTACATAACTAATTACCTAACTACATACCTGCCTATTAAACTACATAACTAATTACCTAACTACCAATCTACCCTATTTATCTAACCACCCAACTATCTACCTATCTACCATACAAGCTACTGATCTGTGTTGTCTAGGTTGTAACAACAACTACAACAACAACTGTAGAAGAGAAGTATAGAGTCCTGGCTCCTGAGTCTATGCAGGAAACATTCATGTCGGATTCTGAGGATGAAGGCGGTAAGTAAATCAGTTAACTAGAAATACAGTAAATAAGTCATCCAGTAAATTAGTAATCCAGTAAATTAGTAAATGCAGTAATTCAAGAATTTAGTTATGAATCCAGTAAACCAATAAACCAGTAAGAGAGTAAATAAGGAAACACAATCGAAAACTAAATCGAACCAAGAAAACCACGGAATAAATGAGATACAGTGTTAACAAAATCTCAAAACAAAGCAGTGTAGCCTAAGTTGTTACTACTGACGTTACTTTTATTTGATAAGAACTTACAAAGTGTGCAGAAACAGAGAAAATATATTTAACTTTGTAAAATTTCTGGATAGTTTTACCTCTAAAGGAAAACCTAAAAAAGGGGAAAATGTATTTTTAATAAAGTGTTATATGTAAGTACATATTGTGCACTATGCAGGGTATATGGGTGAAGAATGTCTGAATGACAGAAAGATATATCTACCCCATTTTGAGCAGAGTATAGTGGAACCTAGTAAGATATCAATAATGGCTGCTCACGCTTTGTCAAACCCTTATTTTTGTAAAGAAGTTTAGTAAACTACTTTATAGCGAATTTGGGTTTCACTTAAGCTTGCTTTTATTCTACACTTGGCAGGCAGGCATTCACCGCGTAAATAAAGAGAGCTTTTGTATATATTTCTTGCTGATTTTTTTTCTTCAAAACTTAAAAGTTTTGCTGAAGTTCCGAGGAAAAAAATATTCCAGTTATAAAGAAAAGGAATTATAATCCTTTCTCAATTCTTCATGCTTATTATCCTTAAAAGTTAAAATTTAGAATTTATTTTCAAAATTTAAATCCTCCAACCCTAATTATTGCACTGCAAATAAACCATTTTTTAAAGTTTTATATAAATCAATATGTTTAATAAGACAAATGATTAAACACCATTGTCTAGTCCACGCTTTTGCTTCTTACCTTACTGATGCAGCTGATTAATAGTATATTACTGTACGTGTCTTACCACAGCGTTATAAATTTCTATACTCTATTTACAATTAACATTGAATTTTTTTACACATTCTCAAATTTTCTAATCCCTATATTTGTACTACCTGGTGGTGCAACCGTTGATATTTAAGATTTAGATTATCTCATCTAACTTAAAAGTTTGAAATATCTAAGGTCTACGTCATTGGGCTGCAAAGTTATAATAATTATTAAACCAGAGTTTGTGATAAAGATTCAATTCTGTTATAGTGCCGCTTCTTTAAAAAGATAGTTTGGGTACTTAATTTTCCATTGAAGCTTAAAGGCAGAAATTGTATCATAAAAATTGAATTTCGCTTTCGAGTAAAATCAGGGTCGCAAATTATCCTTCTTAGAAACAGGAGTTAAATGACACCTTTGCACAGAATCTGTAAAAATTTAATTATTACAAAACTGAATGCCTGAAAGTTTGGTTGATACACTATGGCAAAGAATTTATAGAGCAAAATGAATTAAGCTGTTCGTTTTTGGAATGAATCAAATAAAAAATATTAAAGACCAAACCTAGATACAAATTGTTGACAGCATTCTTTGAAAACTTGAGTTTGGATTTTAGAAGAAATTAAATACATAAATATTAGATCTGTTGGTTTAGCTTAAATCAACTTAGTCAGACGCCCTGAATTTCTTGTTCTCAAATATATGTATGTATGTATATTATATATATATATATATCAGGAATATCAGGAAAAAGATCTGAAAACTCCCCCATTTTGGGGAACCCAGACCGCCATCGGGTGATATTCCTGAAATAGTAAAATATAAATAGTACAATATAAATAGTCAGGAATATCAGGAAAAAGATCTGAAAACTCCCCCATTTTGGGGAACCCAGACCGCCATCGGGTGGACACCCGGCCCCCCAGGCCATCCGGAGATGAGGTATTACCCGGGGGCAGGCAGAACCGAAGTCCAGAAGTATATATATATATATATAATACTAATAAATCTGGAAAGTTAGCATTGTAAACCCTAGAATATTGTGTGGTATAGAACTAGAAATTGAACAGGTTTACATTCACAAAATATTATTTCAAACACATTAAATATTTACTTTTAAAAATAGTAAAATATAAAACGGAAGTATGTGACATGTCTGCCAGTGCTAAATCTAGTTAAAAAAAATACAAATCGAATGGGGAAAGCTAAAGAAATTAGGGAATTTGAGGAAAATCATTGACATTTATGTTAACTATATTTATTTATTTTTAACTGAATAGAAAAAAGTTTTTGTAAATATTAAAATTGTTAAACCGATCCCTTTGAAACGCGTACTAGATTTTCTTGCATAAAATAGTTATGATTCAGAAGAATCTCTGCATAATCAAAATTAGAGATTTAAAATATCCAATCAATACAGTAATTTGTTGGTTTTGTACCAGCCCATCATCTCCGAATGAATACGCTAAACTTCAGATTTATCAGTGAGCACTCAGTGCACTTTGTCGTGATGCTCGTTAACTTTTATATTGTTGGTTATACAATACATGATGGGATTTTGTCAAGGTTAAAATAAATTTTATTTATAATTTACATTAAGCTGAGCCCCCGCCACTACCCTCCGGCCATGTTGTATTGAATATATGATGAATGAATGTAGGTATAATATTTGTCCTTGTTCCAACACCACTCATGTAAATCTGTGCCTCCGTATTCAATATATTCAAATACCCTTAAACATCCTTCTTCACCCCGCCCCAAGGCGAGCTAGAATTCGTGATAACGATGCAAGCATTAAGGATTAAATAGATTAGTTTAAAAAAGTGCTTTCTACAGATTTAGACAATTTTTTTTGACCTTTTATTTTTTAATTCGACAATAGCGAATGCAATAAGAATTGTAAAATGATATATGCCTAATATTCCTCTGAAGGCGGTGGTGGGTTTGATTAATGTTAACAATAACTTGGAGTGCTGGATTTAAATAATTCTATAATTCGTTTGATTTATTGCAAGAAATTTCTTACAACCCCAAAGGATACATTTATCTTCACTCTTTCAACCAATAAATGTTTTTTTTCTTTTTTTTCTGGGGGGGGGATAGAATTAACAAATATCAACTTGTGTTAAAATTAAGGAAATGAAAAAAGTTTTGAAAAAAATCGCAAGATATGGATTAGAAAACTAGAGTTTAAGGTTGCAAATTGTGCTATACTGTCATAAAAAATCTTTACAGAAATATCTGAATATGAATTCAGTTAGCATGATAGTCCAAGTTTAAAATCTCAAAGGTTTTCGTTATCAGGTTGCAAAGATATAGGTTAGAAAAAGTTTATGACGAAACACCAGATAAAGATCATATTTACGCCAAAGCAACCTGAAGAAAATTTAGTTTTTAAATTGAACTTTGCTTTGCTCACGTGGTCTCAGTTTATTTTTGATAAATGTTTAGGATATTTTGCCCACATGTGTTTACATTTATTTATAAAATCTAATACTAAAATGGCAGCTTGTTGAGAACCTTGAATTAGTTTAAACACCCATTTAAATTGTGCAATCTGCATAGTCTTAAGTTTGTATACATTTTCTAAATTTTAACAGATTTAAATTCTGGAAAAGTTTCGAAAAGTGAAAAATTCTTTTCTCTTTAAGACATTTAAAAGGGCGGGGTTTTGTTCAAAACGCCGGTATTTACTCGGAACACGTACGTCGTTTTGGAAATTGTAAGATTCTGTAATGAAGATCGAATTTTGATGGAGACAAATATTTGAAATTTTGATCATTCATAAACCTTCCCTGGGGTCCCTAGATGTCCCACAAAAAATTTGGGCCCGATCGGATTCGGTTCAGCCGTTTTGACGTTTATTGGATACAAACAAACAAACAGACAAACAAACAGACAAGCCAAATTTATATATAGATATAAAATGTATGTTTACAACCCTATATATAATTATACAATATACATAATTTAAAGAACCCACTTGTGAAATATACTTTTATGACTTAAACTAAAGAATAATATTGTGAAAACTGGAAGTACAGGTGGAAATTATCTTATTGTTTTTTTACATTTAGTACCAATAATTATCAATCTTTTCCTATTTGCACCCCCTCCCCCTCCCGCATCCCTGCCCTTCTCTGCTATGCAATGTGTATATGCCTGACACACCGGCTACTCAGGGGCAGGGCACAGTTCAGTTTACGTTTGCAAGCCAGTCTAGGCATACAGGCAGGCAAGCAGAAAACTTGTTTTTTACTTGTGCAATATTTTACACATAGTAGAAGATGTGATCCCAAGTACTTGATAGACATTAGACAATTTCACAAATTCTTAATCTTATAAAACCAATAAATCTTTGCATGCACTTGCCACATCCTTACGAATTGACAATTCGTTTGACATTGACAATACGATAATGTTCAAATAAACAATCTGCTGAAACAAATTATTTTCCAATTAGGCAATAATGCATAGTCGTAGAGACTATGCATTATTTTAAATTACGATAAAGGACAATTTTTTTAAAAGAGAATTTTCAAGGGTTTAATAGTTATTTAACTGAGATATTTTTGAGTAAATTTTTAGTAAAAAAACAATTTATCAATGTCCCCATCTGCACAGTGCACCAGTCAATCTAGTTTTTCATCAAATTAAAGAATTTCAGAAAAAATATTTACATATGATAGTGACATGTGATCTTCAATTGAAATAATTCAAAATGATTTTAAAGTGAAAATATCAGAATCTGTTTCATAGGATTTAGTTTTAAGGTATTTTTTTAAGTCGAAAAAATAGCAAAATAGAAAAAAAATTAAATCAATTTTAACTTGATTTGAAGCATGCATCGGCATAAGGAGGTTTTAATTTCAAGGTCTAATGTTTTTAAATATTGCTTGAACTCTAAATTCGAATACATTGAAAATTATAAAAGTGTTGAATTTGATATCTGTTTATCAAGTAGATATATAATAATATATAATCATATTCAATCATATTCAATATTCTTTATTCTATTGTATTATCTATATTATATGTATATAATATTTAATATCTATAAATCTATTTGTTATATAAAAAATATAATGTGTTTGTTCACGATGACTCGAATTTATTGTTCATAACAGACTTCTTTCCTGTTTATTCATTTCATTCATAATATTCACACTTTTTAAATCTGAATTATAATTATTTTTATTTTAAAAATCATTTTAAAGCATCGGGGCGTTTAAACGACATTGAGATATAGACAACTCTGAACCTTAGTCATCCCATTTTTGGACAGCCTCGACTTAGTGTTGCAACGCCTTGGTATTTGGTTTTACCTCACCAACTCACTTTTACTTTTTGTAGCCCTAGATATATAAAAATAAAACGCGCTTGTTTCTAGTTTTAAAGGAATAATTGGTAAATACTGCTTGATTTTTGTGTCAGAGCAGAGCATGCACATCTTTATTTGCAGTGACGATGAATTTGCAATTTTCATAGGTGCAATAAGGCTAGGTTTAAAGCGTTCTCTCTCTATATATATATATATATTTATGTATTTAATTCATGAATACAAACTGGGCTTGGCGCTTACTCAATCATGGGTTAGAAGGTTCGGAAAGGTTTAAGGGGCTTATACTGATATATCAACTGAGAGTTCAGTCTAGTAAACAGTGTTAAACACGAAACCTTCTTAGAATTTTCTTCTTTATTGACTGACCTTGTAGATTTATTGATCAGAATTCTACTGTTTTCATCAAATTTTTTCTTTTTTCTTTATTATATTTAATTAATCAGTACTATTACAAGAGCTTGAACAAAAGATTTGTTATATCGATTCCTATTTACAATACATGTAAATATCAAAGATTTTCCTGTTTTTTAGAAAATATATCTTAATTATTCTTTGTTAGAAACCTGGTCAGAATATTAATGAATGTGGGGTTTACGAACAGTGGAAACTTTGTTTTATGAGCAAGTCAAAAATGTTACATATACTAAGAAAAATATCGAACAATCGTTGTAAGATTTAAGAGTCTTATCTTAATTGCTTAGGTTATACAGCTTAAAATCCAGGGATGCAGATTTGAAACTTGAATTAGAATGGGAAAAATGTCATTTTCCTCAAAATCACGTTTTCCAATTGACATATTTTGATTTAAACTTCAAGTTGAATTCAATTTGATTTTGACTATTACAAATCTGCAATTGACCTAAAATTAAGAGAAAAACGATGGTTAGAACTTCAGTAGAAATTATCTGCTGAATCAGGATTTCAAGCAAGTTTGGGGATTAATAGGAGTCCGATATATTTCAGGAGGTTGATAAATACCACTGTACCAGGGGATTAATAGGAGTCCGATATATTTCAGGAGGTTGATAAATACCACTGTACCAGGGGATTAATAGGAGTCCGATATATTTCAGGAGGTTGATAAATACCACTGTACCAGGGGATTAATAGGAATCCGATATATTTCAGGAGGTTGATAAATACCACTGTACCAGGGGATTAATAGGAGTCCGATATATTTCAGGAGGTTGATAAATACCACTGTACCAATCCTATTTAGATATGTATTTCATGAGAGACATGGAATATTTTCAAACAAATCTCTGTTTTGAGAACGCCCTGTATGTTTTATGACCTACTAAACCGAACTAATTATCTTCATCCTGTCACAGTATTTCATCGGAAACTTTTTTACATGCACACATGTCGGGTGGAATATTGTTCGATCTTTGTAAAATACATAAAAACATTTATATTATTTACCTTTACCTAGTTAGATATTCTTTAAACTTTGGTTTTGACATTTTCAAAGTTTAAAAACATTTAAACATGGCATTTTATGACATGGTATCAAAAGACTAGTCACGACTACTTTATATACCTATCAGCTATCTGACTTAGTAGGGTATAAATAGATAGATCCATGTTCAGTATTTATATATAAAAAAGCATTTGCTATTAATCAGACTAATAAGTCCTTATTTTAATTTTTTTGCACATATTTATTTATCTAAATAACTGGTATTTATCCAGGACTAAAGAAATCTAGTATTTATCTGAGTAAACCGATCTGTATTGTAGGAGAGGAGAACCCCCAGGACCACACCTACAAGTATCTGACCAGCGAGGAGATGAAGGGGCTGGGGGATGATTCAATGCAGATCGATGTTACCAACGACGAGAAGGAGAAGAAGGAGTCAATGAACAGGTAAGCTACAAAAGAGGAAACAGAAATTGAGAGAGAAAATAAATAGGTGCTAGAGAAAGCAAATAATTAAAAAAGGAAGAGAGAAAGTAAAAAATAGAAGAACATCTGGATTTAATGAAGAAAACATTTTGAGAAAATTAGTTGTCTAAGTATACTCTGAGAATTTTAAGCTGTTTGAGTAGCTGTGTTTAATTTCAGGGTTGCGGAACTAAGTATAGAAAAGAAAATCTTGGAGTTGGAGAAGAGTCGAGATTATAATCTTGAAGCTGAAATCTTAATCAACAATGATCAGACGGATAATATTGAGATACCAACCAAACCTCCTGTCAGTGCAGGGTAAGCTTTTACAGATTTTACAGACCATAACCCCCCCCCCCCCCCCCCCCCCCCCTCCTTCTCTCTGTTTGTACGCAGTGCATTCTCCATTCTTTTGTACGTACTTCACATTCTATTGTTGGTTGCTAAAGAATGTAAACTTGATAAAGGATCACTAAGTAAACAATAAATTTTAAATTTTGATAAATTAAAAAAGTTGAACACCTTTTTTTAATCAGTTTATTTGATTTCTTCTTCCAACAAAATACCAGGGAAGAGCTTGACATTTTGCATTGCATTGAACTGATTAATGGTCACAGGTCTGATGATTAAATATATTCAAAGGCATGGAAGCAGAAAGAAATTGGGTTAAAAATAAAATTTGATATCATTATTAATCCACATGTTTCATTACATGGCTGACATGGTGCCTAGAAAACTAGTTCTGTGCTTGTTATTTAGTATATAAATATTCTAAGACAAAACTAAATGTTCATTGTTCTATGTCTAGATTAGGTTATGTGTATTGCCATTTTTTCACAAACACTTAACGTCAATCAAATTAATGAATTTGTGAGTAAAAAAATGTAAGCAGTTTGTGCTTGCATTTTATTAAAAATCATTTGCAAAAATCTTATCTTTTAAACATAATGAAATCTAAAAATCAATAACGGTTTCTCTAGTCTGCATGCCCTTTGGAATTTGTTGTATTTTTAATGGGAGAATTAAGTTATTGCTTGCCCGGCTTTGAAACTACTTTTACGAAATGACATCATGATTCTTGGAGTATGTATAATAAATATAAAAACATGGATTTAAGATCGTTAATGGGATCAAAAATGGTTAGGTCCCAAGGGCATTGTGTAACATGGGACTGCTGAATGAATTGAACATAGTTTAATGCCCCTTGTCCTAGTGCCAGCAAGATATGAAAAAGTTTTAAAAAATATCTGAATTATGGACAAAAACGAAATTGAATGCAACTTAAAGAAAATGAACGTATCTTGCCTTATATTTGGTTTATGTGGGACAATCCACTAAGAAATAAATAAGACAGGGTTTAAATACAAGGCTCAGCAATATAGATTAAACTGACTTAGCAAAGTTAAAATATACAACTTTTGACCTGTGGATTGTAATGTATTATGGAATGGTACTATGTGACTGTAAAATGTATGAATGAGGAATCGAATGATTTGCTAGTCTGCATCTCTAGCTTAACAATATGTCTTCAAACACTTCAGTTTATACTAATAGTTGGTTGCTGAAGGGGGCTTGGTATTTATACAGAGGTTTGGTCCTGAACATTGGTAAACAATGAATAAAGCAGGAGGATATTTGCAAATAATGTGTTTTTTTAGTAAAAATCTGTTCCGCTTTGAAATATTTATGCAAACTTCGCTTATTCGTGATTTATCCAAAACTTACAGCAATTTTTCTTTTTTCTTTTTTTTCTACTGGTATATTTCTATAATCGACCGGTCTGTAAGTAAACCCCATAAATATTTAGGGTTAAGGGCGCGCATTCATTTGCTAGTGTTGCAACCAGTGTAGGGAACCAAAGTACTACCTCCTCTATGTGGCGTGAAAGGTTTGGTTCGACTCCGTTGATTGCCTTGATTTCCTCGATTTCGTGTTCACTGATCAATCACCCCTTCCCCCATTTGTGGACTTTCCACCTTTCTATACTAACATGTTTGATTACTAACACATTCAATTTTTTACAGGAAACTCACTTGGAAATCGTAAGTACACTAATTTGTGCATGTCTGATATCATTATTTTTGTATTTAGATACTTATTTATACCTTAAATGATATGTTTTTATTAATGGGTAACTTTTTTAAGGGACACTGCCATGGAAAATGGTGAACTAATATTTAAACCTGAGTTTGCTCTGAACTCTTAAGTTAGATTTTCATTAAGATTTAGATTCAACAATGATTAGTTATTATGCTGCTTTAAAGTTTGGGATTAGTTAATGCATTAATATGCCAAACCTGTTTCCAGAAATGTTGGGCTTGTTTAAAATTCAATGAGTAAAAAAGTTAATGGCTTGAATACAACGCAACTTTTGCTATTTCTGTTCTGAAAAATGATCTCATACTGAAATAACAAAATCGTTTTATGATTGTTTTATTTGCCGTGTTGTAGTAGAGTTGTTATACTAGATTTAAATACAAAATACAAAGTATTTTTTTATTTATGAAACGACTTTTTTTTTGGGTACGTTATAAATACTATAACTTTCCTTGTTTCGTTATTTAAAGGTTTAAGGTTTAAGGACATCTATATTGTAGTTTACCCCTTAGATACGTGTTTGTAGTTCAGAAATAAACCTACAGTATTGAATTATTTTGCCAAATAAAAATTTTATGAACTAAAAAGTTTTGTAAAATGTCCTCAAATATTTTCATATTTGATAAAAGAATACTCTTGGTTTATCATCCTAAAATCTCAATCCATCATATTTTATCTACAATAGTATCTTTTCCAGGTTCCTGGTTAGCTTCATGGTCGATGCACGTGGAGGAGCAATGCGCGGTTGCCGTCACTCCGGTGTGCGCGTTATAATACCTCCAAGGAAGGCGCCGATGCCTATGAGGGTAACATGCAGGTAAATGAAGAAGATTTTTATAAACTGAACCTTGTTAGACTTATCATTATCAAATCTTATAATATTTTTTGAGCTGAAAAATTTTAGAAAAAGATATCCTTAATCCCGATTACTTAATCTGAGTATCCAATGGACACACTTTTGATTTTCTTCTTAAACCGTTCTTTCTTGTATATTAGATTCATTAGATTCCGCCAATATTTTTCATTTTAGTTTTGTCTAATGTCTATCGTCTAAAGTCATACTGACTTTTCATTTACTTACTAAATAGCTAGCTTGTTAACAAGCTCCTGAAGTTAATAGTGTAGTGTGCAATTCAGAGGCCAATAGTAAAAAAGTTATGCATTCATGCATCTGAGGTTATATTTAGTGAATAGCGAGAAGTAGATGAACCAGTTACGGATAGTTGAGCTAACCATACATTGTATATTAAAACTGTAGAAGGTGTTTAGGGATCTTTTAAATGTTTTTATGTCAAGGTAGACACTCGAGCTACGCTTCATAAATATTGACAGGGATCAATAGATAATAATCTAAATTGAAAAATTGGATAGGATGAAAAGGGGAAATATGTATAGTAATCATGTGTAGAAAAAATAATATGGATTGTAGTAGGTTAGAGTGAATTTCTATATAAATTTTCTGGTGATCTGGTTTTCCTATGGAGTCACAAATTACGTTGTACAGAAAGAGATGTGAGTTAAAGGATTGTTCATATATTTTAAAGTTAATATAGAACACACTGTGTTGATAGTTGGTAAATATTTGAGGCGAATTATATAATTATATAATATAGGTACTTGAAGAAGGATAAGCTAGTCCATCCTCCTCCTCTAAACGAAGGAGAAGCTCTAGCCAGCAGAATACTGGAGCTAGGACCAGCAAAAGCAAACTTCCTTGGACCAGTCATAATAGAGGTTAGCGATCTTCTATTCTTATTAAACCAATTTTCCAAATTTTTGCAAGAATGTGACGTTTTGATAAAACCGAAGCTTTGATATTTATCCTTATTTTGATATATTTTCATTAATTTGATCTAATTAATGAATCTTGTGTTCAGGTTCCCCACTTTGCCTCCCTGCGAGGGCGGGAGCGTGAGATAATTATTCTAAGAAGTGATGATGGAGAGAAATGGCGTGAACACTCTCTTGAAGCTACAGAAGAGGCTGTACAGGAGGTTCTTCAGGAAAGCTTCGATGGAGAAGGTAAATTTAATTTATCCTGAAATCAAAGTTTCTTAACGTTTACAAAACGGCTCCGTCCTCCTGTAGTTCTTAGGCCCCACTTTTTCTTAATTGCCTTGACAATTTCTATAAATAAAAGAACTGTTAATGGGTTAATTCATTCATCAATAAACAGCACACGATTATGTCCTATTTAGATGCTGGTCCTCTAGAAGATCTGAACACTAACAGAATCACTAGGATCCTTACCACCGACTTCCCCCAGTACTTCGCCATCATTACCAGGATCCGGCAGGAGCTCCACTATATTGGTCCTGAGGGAGGACTCGTCAACAGCTCAGTTGTTCCTCAGGTATTACATATATTACTAGAGTGAGTACCAAGCTTTACCTGAAAATCTAAACTTTCTCTTAAAAGTCAACAAACTCAATTTAGAAACCATCCCCATCCAAATTTTTTTTATGCAAATCGGTCAAGTCATGACTGGTAATACAAGTTTATATATTTAAATAACCTTTAATCTATAAAGCTATTTTGGTCAAACAATTCGTCGTTTTTCGTCTTGAATCTTAATCTTTAAGTAAGAAAAGCAATAGGTACGAATAGTGATTTGTTGATGGGGGTCACAACAAATTTTTTATTTAAGTTTTCCTCAAAAGATTTTTGTAGAAATGTTATCTGATTCATTGTCCTGATATGTTCAGACTGTAATGAGTAGGGTTTTGGTGCCAACTTTTCCCCTCTCCTTCCACAATATCATTTTCCCAAACAAGATCATTCAATCTTCTATCATCCTTTCAGAGATTGAAAATGTTAATTATCTAATTGGTCCTGTTTTTAATCCAGGTGCAAGCACTGTTCCCACAGGCAGCTTTAACTAAGAAGATTAAAGTTGGACTTCAGGTAAACATGTTCCGGCCAAGGAAATCAGCTGCTGCTACCGGTATCTTTAAGAAGATCACAGTTAACCATGTTCCCAAGAAGAAACGATTCTGTCTTATTTGGTAAAAAAAATTCTACTCTGGAGCCATCCTAAAGGGTGGTTTTTAGACTTTTGAGCCAACGTTAATTGTTTTCAAGTCTAGTCTCCTAAAATCCCTAACCTCTGGCGTTTGGTTTTTAGTCCAGTATCAAGATATCACCCTGTAGGCTGTAGGGTGACAACCCAGCTATGTTAGAAATTTAAGTTTGTTGTTTGGTGGTGTTTAGATTAACTGGAGTACATATATATATAGTCTAGACGTAGACCAAATATCTAGATTAAGGATAGAAAGGGTATATCCAATTCGTATGATTTAGAGGGAAAAGTTTCTGGAAGCTCTAAACTTTTGTTAAGAATCTAAACAAATAGGGTTTTTTAAAAGTCAATTTTAAAGTGTCTAAATTTTAAACAACCCCTCTATGTGAGGATAAGGCTTCTCTTGAAGGAACAAGAATAATGAGAATACTTCTTGCTATTGCCAAAAATATAGAATCTTTTCTTCTCGGATGATATTCATTTATCATTCGTTGTTTTATCGTATTTGTAAAGTTTCTTCCAAAACATATTTTTCTGCTTATCATGGGAAAAAGATTAATATAAAAATTTAAGTGATCTGCTTTTTTGAAAAGAAAAGTTAGAAAAGAAGTTAAGAAAGAAGGTTAGAAGTTAGGAAGGAAGGTTAGAAGTTAAGAAGGAAGTTTAGAAGTTAGGAAAGAAGGTTAGAAGTTAGGAAATAAGGTTAGAAGTAGGAAAGAAGGTTAGAAGTTAAGAAAGAAGGTGAACGTTAGGAAAGAAATTTTAAGTTAAGAAAGAAGGTTCGACTAATGGAAATAAAATTTTAGATTTATAAAAGAAGATTATATGTTAGGAAAAGAAAAAAGGAAGCGTTTAGAAATACCGGTTAGAGTTTAGGAATACAGGTTAGAGTTTAGGAATACAGGTTAGAGTTTAGGAATACAGGTTAGAGTTTAGGAATACAGGTTAGAGTTTAAAATACAGGTTAGTGTTAAGGAAGAAGGTTCGTAAAGTAGTTTAAAGGTAAGAAAAAAGATTAGGAAAAAGAAAGAAAGTGTATAGGGGATCAGAAGGATAAAAGATAGGAATCTCAGCATAAGAATTGCAAAATGAAATAACTGTAAAATAAATATCGTATTGGAAGAAGCTCAGTAATTTGTAAAATTCTATATTTGATAAAATTGAACTCTCCAGTATTAAAATAATTATGCTCAAAGAAACTTAGAAATCTCAGAACAATCAGGGTTTTTTTAATACAGGTTGGACCAAACCCAATATTATTTTCAAATTGGAATATTCAAATAAATCATAATTCCATGCTGTGACAATGGAAAATTTTTATCAAACCATATCTAGACTGGTGATCTGAATGTAGCATTTGTTTATATAAATTTTACACTGTAAAGGGTGTCCCAAATAGGCTCCGGTACTGTTTCATCAATTACATCAATGTACTACCAAAACGTTTGCAAACATTTATCTGGAATCCAGTTTTTTTGGGACACTCTATCTTGCTTATAGTCTCCTAGTTTCCATTGTGTATCTGAAATTATGTAATTACCGTTAATTCGCACTAACATAAATCTACGAAACCGCTTTTTTATTAATTTAAAATATTTAACCGCGCAAACTTCAGGGAAGTCGCTCAAAAACAATCTTGCCATATTTCAGCTCTAATTAAATCATTTACTATTCAGGGAAATTGATATTGTAAAGTAAATTTTTAGCTAGATTCGTTGTATAGGGGTCGGCATTGTATAATGTCTATTGTTCATTGTATAATAATATCCTGTAGAACCCTAAGTCAATGTTGTATTAAAAAAATTGCCCAAAAATAAAAAAATTATTTTGAAAAGTTTCACTTTATTGTGCAAAGGTCGAGGTTGATTCTTCAGAAAACAACACAATAATTTTATTGTTTTTGGGCAAATAAAATATTTAAAAGAATAATTTCTGAACTCTGTCAAATTCGACCTTTGCTCTATTTTTATTTTCATTTATTTAATTTTGATGAGCTCAGAAATTATTTTATTTGTTTTTTTTTGTATCAACATTTTTATCACAACTTGAACAACTTCCTTAATTAACTTAAAAAATGTTAATACAGTTTTTATTTTTATTTTGTTGTTATTTTTTGTTACAGTTTTGTTTTGTGTTCAGGCGCAACCTATTCCTCCTGAGTTGGCCGCTAAGCTTCTCGGCAACAGAGTAGCAGTATCTCCTATTGTTACCGTTGAACCTAGAAGGTATATTGAGTTGGAAACAATTGCACTTCTAATAGGAGAAGGGAGGGGGGGGGGTTAACTGACCCGCTTAAGCTATTTTTTTATTTATTCAGTTTATACGAAAGTGCTTATCGTTACTCATGTAGGTGATATGATATTATTCTTGAAATAATAAGTATTAAGTAAATGAATGGAGTACAAACAATTTGGCGCGAAATTACTGTACTAAGGATTATAAAATGTTAAATGTTTGTTCCGTCGCTCATAATTTTAGAAGTTCGCTAAAGTTTTTGCACAAATGAATTTCACTTTTTTATCTTTATTTAACGCATTTTGAATTTCATAGATTTTATTTACTGTTTAAGAATTTATTTATTAGTTAAGAATTAATAATATTTTGAATTGTATGAGGTAGATTTAAAAGTCAAAAGACCAAAAATAAAAAGGTTTATTTTCAAGTGTCCTTAGAAACCTTTCTCCAAGCTGAGAAAGTGCGGAGATATATTTTCTCGGTCGCTAATAAACAAACAAAGACAGTGGTCGGCAATTTTATAAATACAATGAAGACGACTTTTTATTTAAGTTTTGATTATCACGTTCTTTTTTCATGTTTATGTGTACTCATGCTGTCTAAAAGCTTGATAAAACTCAAAATTGAAATATAAAGTCGTCTTTATTGTATTGATATATGCGACGACGATGTAACAGCGGCGGATATAACCCCTGGGTATTTTCAAAATAAAGATAAAGGGTCGTTATAAATTATTACAAACTTTCTATATACATTTAAAATTTGTCATTTTTTTCACCAACAACTTGTTGACAAAAGCACAGGGTTATATTTTTCTTGTTACTTTTAGCTAATTATTTAGTAAAATAAGTTAGTTTGATGTTTTTTTCCGTTCCTTTGGGTTTGGAATAATTCTGTAATCTGTAAATTTGATTTTTTCTTCAAATTCCTGTTTTAGAGAGAAACCATGAAATGTCTTCTTCCAGTATTTCATGCTGTTATTTACCAACTTTAAATGTCGTCGTCCAAGAATGGTCTTTCATAAAATCAATTCCTTTCGGAAGAAACTCTCTCTCTCTCTCTCTCTCTTGGTTTAAAAGAGAATGCTGATAGGAGGGGGAGGGGGGGGGGGGGGAAGCCAAATATTAATGGAAAATAAACCTGGAACCAAATTACATGCTGAAATACAATACATAAATCTATAAAATATCTTGTTGGCCCCCTTTTATTATTATATATTTATTAATATTATCAATACATGTGTAATGGTTTATTTATAATGGCAAGATCTTTTTTAAATTCTTCAACACAGCAAGTATAAAAAGTACATATTAAAAATAATGATATTTTAGAAGATTAAGATTAAGATTTTGGTTGCATAAAAATGGTTGATCTTTAATCATTTACAATTTAAATTTTAACAAAAGGTTTTCAATTTTGGATTCTGATTTTAAAGCTAATGTGAGCAATAGAAATAAAAAAAAATTATATCCTTTTATTGTTTTATCCTGTACCTACTTATTGATAGGCGGAAGTTCCATAAACCTATTACCCTGACTATCCCTGTCCCTGTTGCTGCTGGTAAAGGAATGATAAACCAGTACTCCGGTGATACTCCGACACTTCGTCTTCTATGTTCAATTACAGGTAAGATGCTGGTCAGCATGTGCGCGCGTACTTGTCACCACTCCGCGCACTAATTAAACAAATTCATAAAAAAAAACCAATTCGTTCTCCTGGGAAAATTGTGAATTGAAATATGACCTGTGCACTTGAAAACTGTGTTCCCAACCCTAGAGCATGCATTACAATGTTGGGTAGCTATGCTTCTCAGACATATTTACTTAACTGATACTCATGATTATTTATGTCTGAGGATCAAAGAAACTGTACATTAGACATGTACTGTGTATACTGTATTGTATCTTATTAGTTTTCTATTAGTATCTAGATGAAAGCTAGGGGTTTAGATCAGTTAATAATGACTAATTTTTAAACATATTACTAGTATATATATAACCCCTAATAGATCAGTTCACTTGCTTTCAATCTTCACTATATATTTGTTAAAATTGTTCAGAGAGTGTTAAAAAATAGTACTTAATTTTCACTTAGATTACAGGGTCTCAAAAAAGCTTCTGACTTAATTTGATAATGGCAATTTATCCAAGCATTTTTTGAACACCCTGTTTACCTTTCTGCTTGAGGATAAAGTATTAACGTTTGCTTGCAATAGGTGTGTTCAGGAAACGGTCCTTAAAAGGTAAAATCTGGGCATTTTTTACTTCCATTTTGGACGCCACACCTTTGGGATAGTTTTCAACCATTTTAGCTTCACTAGCTGTGGCGCCCTTATAACATACTTGCCTTTTTACCTAAATTCTTTTTAAACAAATGCAAGTTTGATAAAGATTGTCCCCAGAATTTGCATTTTTGGGACAGTCAAGCCAATAAAAGGCAATTTAAAAAATTCAATGAGTTGTCTGAAAAAAAATATTTTATTTGAATTTTGTAGATTTCATATTTATTTTCTATGTTGGTCTTACAAATATATTGGTTTTTTAATGTAAACTGCAATGTCCTGATAAATAAAAATTAAACAAACCTTTTCTTTGTAAGACAACTTAGCTGGCACATAAACATAAAACTGAGATTATATATGTTTAGTGAGCTCCACCAATAACTACAAATATTCAACTAGTGAGTCTTATCAATCAACTTTTATACCTTCAAACATGTTTTTATGCGACAAAAAGAAACACACTGCAAAACTGCATGTCGACCCCCCATTTTCTTAAAAGCACAAGTTTATAATTAGCCTGAGAAATATAATAGTTCTTTAAGACTGGTCTGCTGAATGATTTTATTTTCTAACTTAAAGGGAGTGTTCGCGAAAAATGAAAGGGGGTATAGGCTTAATGCGATAAAAAAGCGCTTTTGATCGCTACTAATCTTACTTCTATCTGTTGCGTCTATATGGAGAAAATTGTTAAAAACGACTCACACCGAAGAACGTAGTGTTCATACAAATTCAGAAAGATGCAACATTCAACTCGGATCGTAAAAAAATCTATTTAATTCCCAACAAATTATCCAGATATTACAAACAATAGTCATCGATTATTTTTCGACGCATTCGTAAATAGTTGATATTTCATAACATTTTGTATTTTTCATGATTTGAGAGTTACATTTTTTCCTGTTTCGAGGATTTTTGATAATGAAGACGACATTTTCATATTTTCCAGGAATGTTCGAAAATCCAGCGCCAGCGAAAATTAATCTAAAAAAAACAAAATCAAAAATATTATGAAATATTAACTATATATGAATGCGTCGAAAAATAACCGATTACTATTGTTTGTAATATCTGAATGATTTGTTTGGAATTAAATTGATTTGTTTACGATCCGAGTTGAATGTTGCATCTTTCCGAATTTGTATGGGCGCTGCGTTCTTCCGTGTGAGTCGTTTCTAACAATTTTCTCCTTATAGACGCAACAGATAGAAGTAAGATTAGTATCGATCAAAAGCGCTTTTTTATCGCATTAAGCCTATACCCCCTTTCATTTTTCGCGAACACTCCCTTTAACATATTTGCATGTACAGTGTACGTACTGTTTCTATCTGTACAGCAGAAAATGAAACACACTTGGCATGTAAAATGTATACATGTTATACATGTACATCATTTTTTAAGCTGTTGAGTACTACTGGACATGCAAACTGCATGTAGAACTGAGATCTAGTAGCAGGACAACCTGGACTTCAGTAAACAGCATCAGTTTAATTCTCCCTTAACAGCAATATTGATTGATTTTTTTTGNCTTAGAACTTTCAAAAAAATTCTCTTTAAATTAAATATTTCTCTTTTTATCAACTGGCTTACAACTCAGGATAGTCAGCAAATATTTAAGTTGTTGGTAAAACATAATTTAAAAATATCAATATTGATAATAATTAAAATTTCATCACTAACTCCATCTCCATAAAAATTAAGAAACTTTAATTTCATTTGATACAAATTTAGAAATTTCATTAAATATTAGCTGTAGTGAGATGATAAAACCAAATTATATGTACTTATACTTCTACCTTAGTGATTTTATTCTTGTAAAACCTATCTTAATAAAATTATCCCTAATTTATATATCCCTCTAGCCCTCAGAAAAATTTGGAAATAAAATGGCATCAACTTTTATGTGGTTTGGACTAACATTAACACAAAATTGAAAACCCAATCATTTCTTTCAAAACAAGATATTATATCTTTCTTAACCATATCTCATCAACTTTATTTTCCTTCTTTTCCCAGTCTTATTCATATTATTCCTCAATACAATTTAATAAAATCAGCTGTTCTTTTTATAAGTTTTAATCTATTTAATACTTTAATCCACAATGGTTTTGTTTTATCATAACCCAATACAATATTTAAAATATTTAAATACAATTTTTAAAATTTATTGCAAGCTACCAAATATTTGTTTTTATCCTCTTTTTGCATTGTAACCTCATTTTTCCTTTAATCCTTTAATACAGGATACGTTATATCCTTCTTAATTTCCTATACCCTATACTTGATCATCATACAATTCAAAACTTAGACATTTAGCAATACTATATACAAGAAACATATCCTTCACAATGAGGGTGTATATTTTCCAATGATGATTTGTCAATAATTCTTAGTAAATGTAAAATTTTACATATAATGCCAATTTTTATCAAATCCTTCATTTAAACCATTCAGCAGATTTGGTAGAAACTAGAAAAACTTATTGGAAAATTTATATCTGAAAAATTGTAATATCGGCTAATGAATTAAGATTACCATTTCTTTTTACTTTTCTGTATTCATTTTGTAGTAAATTAGACAGTTTTAGTTTACATTACATACACTGAAAAATGCTATCAATCTGGGGTGTCTTAAAATTAACATTATTAAGACACCTTACCTCAGGCAACTCATTTAAAATGCCCATTTTTTACATTTTAATGTTTCTGCTAAGTGCTTGACCATGAACAGTTTATCCTGACTTGTTTGTCAGACACTATACAGTCGTTAATAATATCCTGCAAATCCTGGGGTCATGCTGTATGGTTTTAAGGCTACCCTAGTAATTATTAAATAGGCTGCTTCTTTGAAACAGATCATAAAAATGCATGATAATTATGCACCAGGTTAACCTTGTATTTTTTGTTCATTTTAATATAAATAACTGAATTCTTACTTTTTACTTCAAGACGCTCTTGCGATTTTGCAGATTCTGAGCATATGTTTTTGTTGGGGGGTTGTTAACCAAGATATTTGATTTTTTGGTGAGACTTCTGCCTTTCTTATTTTTTTTCTAAAGCTATTTCACTTTTTGCACAATTTCTTCATCTGCTCCGTATTGTGAGGTATAAAGGGGTAAAACTTGAACTTGTCTCAAGTTCTGCCCCCTGCCGCTTACTGTACAGAATGAAATCAAATCTAGCTGGGTGTTGACTGTAGCTATGCATTGATGTTCATGTTTTATTATTGATTGATTAATTGATTGGTTGACGTGATTGATTGATTAATCAGGTGGAACAACACGAGCTCAGTGGGAGGATGTCACTGGTTCTACTCCTCTTAACTTCCTTAATGATTGTGTCAGCTTTACAACGACGGTAATTTTTTAATAGCTTATCCTTCTTTGCCTTTGAACAATTCTTATTTTGATTTGATTTAATTTTATATTGACTTTGATTTTTTTTTTTTAAAGAATAAAATTATTTGAATGTTTTTTTATGTCGTATGTGTATTTAAGGTGTCTGCCCGGTTCTGGTTAATGGACTGCAGAAATGTTCCTGAAGCTACAAAGATGGCCACCACATTGTACAAAGAAGCTATTCACGTTCCCTTTATGGCTAAATATGTTGTGTTCGCTAAACGCCATGAGCAGCTTGAGGCTCGGATGCGGGTTTTCTGTATGACGGATGACAGGGAGGAGAAAACCTTAGAACATCAAGAGCATTTTCACGAAGTTGCTAAATCCAGAGATGTTGAGGTAAAAAGACTTTTTTCCTCTGAGTTGACTTCATTATTTTATTGGTTAACAAAATAAACCTGCAGACATATTTCATCAAACTTAGGCTTTATGGAGGAATTATATACATTTGTAATGTATTTATATTTACAAAACTGTTGTCACAGTGATCAACCAGCATCTTGTTTAGGTTCTTGAAGGAAAGACTCACTACCTTGAGTTTGCTGGTAATCTGACACCTGTCACTAAATCTGGAGATCAGTTGACCAACAAGTTCCTCGCTTTCAGGGAGAACAGACTTCCCTTCACAGTTAGAGTTAAAGATCCAAACAATGATCCGCTAGGTCAGTTACAACAGTTAAAAGCAATTTTGTTAAGCATTTTTTGCCGTAAAAGAAAAGTGCGACTTGAGCTTTCTAAAATTTGTATTTATACATTTTGTATTTAATCCCTGATTATCATAATTTTCTTTAAAAAAAGGATGGACAGTTGTTTTATAACAACAAACTCTTCAATTCAATTAAATATAAATTGTCTTTTAAGGATTACTAATATTATTATAAAATACAGCTTCTTATTATATGTAAATGTTAAATACTAAATGCTCCGGAGTGGGTACAAAAAGGTCGAGTATTGTTTATTTGCAAATACAAATATGATTATTATGTAATGCAAAATTAATGTCTAATGCAAACTCATTTCAGTTCGTTGTTAAAGTGTATATTTCATATTAATTGTTCAGGACGTATCAGCTTCTTCCGTGAGGCGAGGACAGGGAAAGGAGAGGTTCAACCTAATCCTATCTGTAACCTTAATATCAGCCTACCTGGAGATATTAGTCCTGATCATTCTTACACAGACAAGGATATCATGGCTATACAGGTACACAAGCCCACTTATTTACACCTGTCAATATTACTCATATCTTTAACCTTGAAATTATCATCCTCCTAAACTATTAAATTATCCTCAATCCTCATCCTTAGCTGTCAAATATTGTCATTATCTGTTTTCATCATCCTAAGCTTTCAAGTATTCTCATTTATTCTCACCCTAAGCCGTCATTTACTTTCATCTGAAATTCTCATTCTTGCCATTACATATTTTCATCTAATCATCTTTAGTTGTGATTCATTCATTCAATCATGTGTTATCTTTCATCCTTTAATTTTCCCCTAAAAATTGGATAGATCGTTCACGAAAAGTATAAAGTGCCATCAACGATTGACTGTTTGCAACAATAATAATGATTAAAAAAGGTGTCTTGACTTTTTTCATTATTTAAATATACTTCATCAAAGAGAAATAAAAATATTTGATGACTGTGTAGGAAAAGTACAGTTTCCTTCGGGATTCTGGGTACGGAAAGTTGAATACTATTCAGAAAGCGGATCTCAGGATATCAGATATATCCAATCATCTTGGTAAAGATTGGGTTAAGGTTAGTTATTTATATTTTCACCCCCCTCCTCTTTTGCTTGAAAAACTATACGTACAATCAATTTCTACGTCTTTAGTTAAGAAATAAAATTCTCTTTAAAAATATTTTGAAAAAATATTAATGGTAAACCAATTATTTAGGTTGCCCGAGAACTAGACATAGAAGATCAGGATATCAACCTTATCATCACAGAGTATCCTGACAACTTAGGACAGCAGGCTATGGTTATGCTTAGGTAGGGGCTCAGAAACGTGTAGGAAGTAAAAATATTTACTTCTGCTTTTGTTCCCTTGTCTTCTAATCCAGTAGAAGCCATATTTGTTTATCAGCTTTATTCTATACAGATTAAACATTCATGTTCATTCTTTAAAATTAAAACAAATATGTATATTTCCAGTTTGTTTTATCATTATCATTATCATTATCATTATCATTATCATTATCATTATCATTATCATTATCATTTTCAATATCGATATTCGAAGATGCTTAAAATAATTTAAATGTTAGGCTATGGTTAAACACTGCCGGTCACAAAGCAACCGGAAACGCGCTGAAGAGTGCGCTTGCATCCTGTGGTCGACAGGACATTATTGACGAGTGCACGATCTCCTTGTCTGAAGTTACAGATCAGGACGAGATGAATATTGCTGAGCATGAGCTTCTCCAGGACGGGTTTGATACCTTCAAGGCCGGACTTAACGGGTTCGGTGGGAAAAACTCCACCCTGAAGCGGGACTACAGTATGGATGTGAGCTATGATGAAAATGAAATTCATCAGGTTAGCGTTCAAATTAGTTGAATAAATTAAAATTAACCATACTTTTTTTGCAATGTGAACTGTGCAGAGTATTAAATTCAATTCACATAATATCTTCTATATATATAAAGTTGTTTGTTTGTCCGATCATAACTTGGGAACCCATAGAACGATTTGCCTCAAATTTTGATTGGGGAACTTGGGAGATCCACGGTAATGTTATTAGCTTGTTTTTGAGATTCTAAGTTGAGTGGGTCGAAAAAAATAGCTAAAATCGTAATTTATGACAAAGTGCGGGTAAACTAGTATACTTAAAAGTTGATAAAATCGTTTCTCTTCCTGGAATGTGATGTCGCTTGTATAGTTTAAACTTTAAAGAACACTTTGAATAAATAGTCTTAAAGTACGTATATAATTCTAAATAAAAAAATAGATTTTGATTTTGTCTTGTTCCTAGGATCGAAAGCACATGTCAGAGATCTCCGAGGAAAGGACGGAAAGCTCCGACGAGACTGAGATCAAATACAGAGCAGAAGAGAAGGTTTTTACCGAGTCCTCATTCTCGCAGCAGTCATCCACATCCCAGGATTCGTCCTTACAAAAGTCATCGCTAATCCAGGACTCTTTCGATGAGGTTAAAATGACCCATGAAGAGTCCTTCTCTGAGACTAGAAAAGAGTCAAAAATGGAGATAATTGAATCTATGGTAGAAGGAAAAATGGAAAAGATGAGTTTGGATGAAGTGACTTCAAAGGTTAGGTTTTTTGCTGATATTTCATTTCTGATTACAATTTTAAAGAACATTTAAAGGCACTGAGTCAAATTTTTTACTAACGATATATTTGTTTAGCAAACCGTCAAGAGTTCAACAGAACAGAATGTTCAAGAGATGAAAATTCAAGAATCTTCAGTGCAGCAGTCCTTGGTGCAGGAATCCATGGAATCTTCAGTGAAGCATCAATCCTCGGTGCAGGAATCCATGATGCAGCAGTCGACCAAGCAGTCCATCATTCAAGAGTCTTCGGTACAAGAATCTACGATTCAAGAGTCTTCGGTCCAAGAATCTATGATTCAAGAATCTTCTGCCCAAGAATCTATGATTCACGAGTCTTCTGCCCAAGAATCTATGATTCAAGAGTCTTCGGTCCAAGAATCTATTATTCAAGAATCTTCATTCCAAGAATCCATGATTCAGGAATCATCAATCCAGGAGTCGGTTGTCCAGGAATCCATGGTTCAGGAATCATCGGTTCAGGAGTCATTTGTCCAAGAAACAAAAATTCAGAAATCTTCAATTCAGGAAGAACAAACAGAAGAATCAATAGCATCAAATGCTCAAAAACAAGAATCAAGGATTGGAACGTCTACCAGAGTTCATGAGTCCGAAGTAACAGAACTAGTAACAGAAAACTCTGCCGTCAAAGAAGTCGTTCAAGAGTCAAAGAAGGAGGAAATGATAGAAGAAATAAAGTTTAACGAGGAAACAAAGAACGGAGTAACGACGAGTTCTGAGGAAAAGAACTTGACAATTGAAACCACAGACTCAACTCTGGGAGCTAATAATGCATTCACAGGTAAATGTACAAAAACGGATATATTTAGTTCCCAAATATTGCATTCACAGGTAAATGTATAATCAAAATGTACGAAAACGGATATATTTAGTTCCCAAATGTACGAAAACGGATATATTTAGTTCCCAAATGTACAAAAACGGATATATTTAGTTCCCAAATGCTTAAGAATTTAGATTTTAAACATGTAACATATTGTGAATTTGTATTTCTAGTTCTAATACAATTGAATGATGTTTTATATTGTCCGCTTGAACTTAGGATTTAATTGTAGGCACCAAAACTTCACTGGATGAAGCAGGTGTAACTGTGGTTAATGAGGCAGACAAGGAGGACAAGGAGGACAAGGGGGACAAGGGGGAGAATGAAAAGGAGAAGAAGGGTATTAAAGGTAAGCTGTCCTCTTATTTAGCTAATAGTAGGAGATGTGGCAACATTTAATGCTTTCTTCCGTCTTCATAATTAAGAAGTATTAGTTGCTCAATCTTAGTTCGTATAATTTTCCATTCAACTACAGACGGATTCTAAGAGATTATCTGGTTTATCGGTTTTACAAACAGAGTTAAATTTTTTAAGTACAAAACTAGTTGACTTTATTTAATTTTGAACTATAATTTTACCTTAGTATATTTTAAATTTTATTTTGTACTGTAATTGTACCTAAATTATATTTTAAATTTAATTTGTTCCTAGTAGAAGTCTAAGTAATAAGTATACCACAAATACTTTGATAGTAACCCCGAATATTCAACTAATATTATAATGATTTACATAAATATGAAATTAAATAAAGCTTATGACCTAAAAAGAAGCCATATATGAATTCTTGTATGGTTTCATCCTAACCTCAGTTCTATCCTCGATCTATACCCTGTCCTTGGCTCAGTATCCTCCTGACCTTACCTCCTTAGGTTCCGTTGTATTATACGTACACTTATATTTACAAAAAGACATTGGAAGAGCAATCTTTTATGGTTTGCAGTGCTTTTTTATTTTTCTCAAATTATAATACACATTTACTGAACAGAAAAAAGCTTTCCTATATTTCTATTTTTATTGTGCACAATACATGACATGTGTATGTACACTGTACAGCACCTATAATTATGCTACATATTTTACCTAAATAAAATTAGGGGTATAGAATAACTTATAGTTGGATGAAATTTTATACGACGTAAGACATTAAAAGGAAACCCTCACTTTTTTTAGAAAACCTGGCATGAAAATTTAAATTTGTTGAAAATATTCTTATTTCAATGTTTTGTAATCTTCTTATGCAATGCCTATCTCATGGGTTTCTTTTCATAAAACATTTTGGCTATAATGCAAATTGCAAACAGATTTTTGAAAATTGTAAGCTTCAAGCCAAAATGTTTTTATCAACATCTCCCTAGACTGTCCCTGAATCCTTAAGTTCATTCTATAGTTTGATTATTCTATAACACCCAGTAAAGTAAAATATCAGAGTTATTTGAGCTTTTCAGTTTTTTCTTCTTTATTATTGCCAATAGTGTCAAATTAGCGTAATTTCTGTTAAAGTTTTAGAGATTTTGAATCTTATCAATCATCTGGAATTTTAAATATTCTGAAATATCATTTATAATTATTTAAAACTGGAAATTTTGTTTTTATTTTGTCACAAACTCCAATTTTCCAATCCCTATATCTTTGCAATCTGATGATTTTAAATTTTGATTATTTGAGCTAAAAGAATTCATGGTTGGAAATATCAAAGGTCTACATTGGGTTGCAAAATCATAGGTATTAGAAAATTAGAGTTTGTGGCAAAAAAACTTTAAAATAAAGTTGAAAAAATATATACAAAAATAATGATTTTATTCAGCATATTATTTGTTTTTTAAAAATCACTTTAAGTTCTATTTATCTTCAAGAAGAATTTTCTTGATTTTAAAGTTATTGACATGTATTGGCAATAAAATACAAGGTAAACAGAGCAAAGTTTCATTTATATTTCCTTGTTCAGCTGCTGGAGCTAGCAGTAGCCCCTCTCTTCATCCCCTTCCTTGTCCTAACCTTACCAGTCCTAATGTTTCCACAATTTTAAACTATGTCACTATTGAGACAGATTTAAAACAGGGTGTTGAAATCTCACTTGATCCAAAAGAAAGCTTTGGAATCACAGTTCATGACCTTGATCATACAAGTGAAGAAAAACAGACAACTGATATATCAAGAAAAATAAAGGAAAGTAAGTTAACTTTAGAGAAAAAGATTCAAAAGCTTGCACATGAAATTGCTGGAACACCAGAGAGCCCTTTAACTGAAAGTGGGCTTTTCACAGACACAGGAATAAGCAGTTTGGACTTAACTGGAGACAAATTGAGAACAAGAAAGCTACTTCTTGATCTACGTGAGCCTACTACTGACACTGATATGGATTATTCAGAATTAAGTCCAAGTTCTATTGGACATGACCTGCCCCCTTTCAGTCCCGAACAGAGTGAGGGTATAGATTCCACTCATAACTTGGCAGCTGCGCAAGAATCCAATACTAGTAGAAGTACCCAGTATGGTGCACATTGTGATGCTCAGCTAAGTCCAATACTATTTTTAGATAACAAAGCTACAAGTCCTATGGGGGTAAGAGGAACAGCAGAGTTGCTTAGAACAACTAAGGATGCAAGCTCAAGTCCACCCCAGCACACTATGCATTCTGCAAGCACATCCCCTCCACAAAAAGGAGATCTTGATCCCAGCAGAACAAGTACTCAAGTCACAACTCCTAATGAACCAACTAACAGAGAAATAGGCTATCAAAGCTCCTTAGACTTTGAACTGGAACTAAATTGCCCTATGGCTGAGGAAGCAGGCCTCAAAAAGAACATAACTTTAGAGAGAGTGCAGACTAAAAACTCTGTAGAAGGCAGGAGAAGTGTTGAAGATCTTGCTAAATGTTTTGAAGATATGGCTACTGAAGGGATATCTAAACGACCTCAGAGTTTACATTCAGAAAAAGGATTACCAGAAGATGAAGGACTAAATCTGGAGACACCTGGTAGAGAAGCATACCGAGAGGAGCAAGTGGTGGAGATTGAAGTAGAACAGAAGGAGTTACAAATAATGGATAAAACTTACAAAGAAGACAGTCTACTAAATACAGAGGTCTGGCCATCTAAGGGTAATTTAATTTTTGTTCTGGTCAAAGCTCAAAATCTCCAGAAGAAGGACATTTTTAGCAAATCTGATCCCTATGCAACAATTAGTTTCCAAGGTAACCATCAGAGCACTGAAACCATAAAAAATAACAACAATCCGGAATGGAATCACCAAATTGAGTTAAATATCACTGATTATCAAAATTTAGAAATAGGCATTGAAATATTCAACAAGAAAAAAATTGGAAAGGATGACTCTTTGGGATATGTAACTCTAAATTCCCAGGAGTTATCAAATTTGAACTCATGGGTTGACCTTAAAGGATGCAAAAAAGGACAAGTATTTGTTTTTTCGGAATTTATTCCAGAAGAAACATTGCAATCCCTGGAAAAGAGAGATATAGATCTTTTAAAGTTAACAACCAAAACTGAAAAAAAATTAAATGATCAAAATACAAATGACAGAACAAATCTAGATTCTGAGACTCAGAAACTTGAACATGCAAAGCTTATGGTAAAAGCTCAGGAGATTGAAGAAGCTCCTAAGCTTAAACTATGTAAGCAGCATGAAGAAGATCATATGCATGAAGCTCAAGAGTTTGAAGGTCAGAAGATTAAGGAGGACAGTCAGAAAATGGAAGTCCTGAAGCTTGAAGAAATTAATGAAGTAACAGAAGGCATCCTACAGCTTACAGTTCATTGTGGAAAAAGTCTGACCAATAAAGATGTTTTTGGTAAGTCTGATCCATATGTAATAGTAGAATATGACAATAAGAAACACAGATCAGAAACAGTAAAAAATAATCTTAATCCCAAATTTGAATTTGTGGTGAGCCTGAGTGTCAACAAAGATTCATCTGATGAAATTTACATAAACTTGTTTGATGAAGATATTGGTAAAGATGATGTCTTAGGTTTTGCAGTTTTAACAGTAGGAGATCTGATCAGGCAGAATGCGGACAACAGAGTAGTTAAACTTATGAATGTCAAAAGTGGTGAAATTCATTTTTCCTCTTCCTTTTATCCAAAAGAAACTATTAAAGAATCCAACAAACTTGAAGTAGCTGAGAGCTTTGAAGAAATCAAGAATCCTGAAGAAGCTCAGCTGCTCCTTGAAAAAATAAAGCTTAAAGAAACTCAAAAGTTTAGACAAGTCCATAATCTTGAAGAAGAAAAAGAATCAAAACAAGTTCAGAACCTGATGGAAAATAACAAAATGGATGAAGCCCTAAATCTTGAAAAAGTAAAAAAGATCAATGAAAGTCATTTGCCTGAAGAGAGCAAAAAGAACAAAGTTCAGAAGCTTGAGGAAGCACAGGAAGAAAGTCAAAAGATAGAAGAAGTGCAGAAGCTGGAGAAAAAAATTAAATTAGAAGAAGCTCAGAAACTTGAAAAAAGTTTAAAGATTGATGAAGTGATGAAGCTTGAAGAAAGTAAGAAGAAGGAAGACACTAAAAGTATAAAGATCGAAGAAGCTCAGAAGCTGGAAGAAAGAAATAAGGTAAAAGAAGTGCAGGAGCTTGAAGAAAGTAAGATGAGTGAAGTCACTCAATGTATAAAGATTGAAGTAGCACAGAAGTTGGAAGAAAGAAATGAGGCAGAAAAAGTGCAGAAGCTGGGAGAAATAAAGAAGAAAGAAGACACCCAACCTGTAAAGATTGAAGTAGCACAGAATTTGGAAGAAAGAAATGAGGTAAAAGAGGTGCAGCAGCTTGCAGAAAGTAAGAAAAGAGAAGACGAGCAAGATATGCAGATAGAATTAGAACAAAAGCTGGAAAAAAGAAATAAGTTTGAAGAAGTGCAGAAGCTTGAAGAAAGTAAGAAGCTTGAAGGCACACAAAATATAAAGATTGAAGAAAGTAAGATGCTTGAAGACACACAAAGTATAAAGATTGAAGAAGCAAAGAAGCTTGAAGACACACAAAATATAAAGATTGAAGAATCAAAGAAGCTTGAAGACACACAAAGTATAAAGATTGAAGAAGCAAAGAAGCTTGAAGACACACAACATATAAAGATTGAAGAAGCGCAGAATTTGGAGAAAAGAAAGTCTGAAGAAGTGCTGAAGCTTGAAGAAAGAATTAAGTTAGAAGATGAACAGAGTGATGAAGAAAGACATAAGTTGGAAGAAGTGCAGCAGCTTGAAGAAAATAAGAAAAGAGAAGACAAACAAGATATGAAGATAGAAGTAGAACAAAAGCTGGAAAAAAGAAATAAGTTAAAAGAAGTGGAGAAGCTTGAAGACGTACAAAATATAAAGATTGAAGAAATTAAGAAGCTTGAAGACACACAAAGTATAAAGATTGAAGAAAGTAAGAAGCTTGAAGACATACAAAGTATAAAGATTGAAGAAAGTAAGAAGCTTGAAGACACACAAAGTATAAAGATCGAAGAAAGTAAGAAGCTTGAAGACGTACAAAGTATAAAGATTGAAGAAAGTAAGAAGCTTGAAGACACACAAAGTATAAAGATTGAAGAAAGTAAGAAGCTTGAAGACATACAAAGTATAAAGATTGAAGAAGCACAGAATCTGGAAAAAAGAAATAAGTCAGAAGAAGTGCTGAAGCTTGAAGAAAGAATTAAGTTAGAAGATGAACAGAGTGATGACAAAAGATATAAGTTGGAAGAAATGCAGAAACTTGAGAACACTCAGAAGCTTGTGGAAAGCATAACTATAGAAGAAGACAGTATGAAGAAAGTAGAAGTTGGCATTTTGAAACTCATCATTCACTGTGGAAAAAATCTGGCCAATAAAGATGTCTTTGGTAAATCTGATCCTTATGTTGTAGTTGAATATGACAGTCATAAATACAGATCAACAACTGTTAAAAATAATCTTAATCCAAAATTTGAATTTGCAGTAGACCTAATTGTTGACAAAGACTCATCTGATGAAATTTTTATAAATTTGTTTGATGAAGATTTTGGTAAAGATGATGCTTTAGGTTTTGCAGTTTTAAATGTAGGAGATCTGATCAGGCAGAATGCAGACATCAAAGTAGTTGAACTAATGCATGTTAAAAGTGGTGAACTATATATATCTTCTATTTTTCATGAGAAAGAAATTGACTTTAAAAAAGATGAATCAAAGGAAGCCTGGAAACCTCAAAGACAAAAAGCTGATAATGAAGCATTAATGCCCACAGATATAACTAAGCCAGGAGATGGTACAAAACTGGAGAATGACCCAAAGCTAGAAATAGTCAAAATGCTAACAGAAGATAAGTTGTTGGAAGAAGCTAAAAGTTTGGATCAAGCCAAAAAGTTGCTAGATGATGTTGGAAAACCTGAAAATACATCTATGTTAAGTCAAAGTATATTAAATTTCCATAGTTCAGAGAAGCAGGACGTTTCCATCAAGTTCTCTAAGGAATATCAGAATGAAGACAGCCGTTTTGAATCATTTTTATCTAATAAGACTAAGGTAATTATTAGAGAGGATATGCACCAGAAAACTGTTGTTTCCCAAGATTTGATTTTGAGGACGGATGAACAAGATGAATTAATTGAAACCAAGTTTGATGACCTTGAACTTGACAGAGAACTCAATGTCATTTTTGACAACAATGTAGAAGTCATCTCTTTTGAAGTTGAGAAAGACTTGTGTTCCCAATTGTCTAAGGGTAAAATTGTTCAAGAAATTAGCAAAGAGTTTGAACACCCTTCACCAGTTCTAACCAAAGAGGTGAAAAATGTTGAAAAAGATGTGGGTAGTTATACTACCACTGAGGACCAGTGTAGTCCAGATCTTTCTCCAATCTTTTTGAAAGAGGATTTCGACAATTCTAATTCGGATATTGAACTAAAGATTAAAGAGGTATCGTCCAAACAAGAAAATGAAAAGTCTACTGACCATGCAGAGATGTGGAAAACCATTAAATTTGAAGAGCATGAAGCCCTTGATTCCATGGATGTCTTAGCAGTTCAGAAGATGGAAAAGGAGTTTGAAGAGAATCTCAATATTAATATGAAGGATAATGCAAAGAAGGATGATAATAAGAGTGATGTTTTAGGATCAGTTGCTAAACCTGTATCAGGAAGATGTCAGTTAACAATTCATTCTTGTACAGATTTAGTAAACAAAGATACCTTGGGTAAATCTGATCCATATGTTGTGTTGGAATATGGAGATAAAAAATATCGATCCGAAACAGAAAGAAATAATCTTAACCCCAATTGGGATTTTTACACAGAGTTTCATTTTGATACAAATAAATCTGATGAAATATTTATCAATGTATTTGATGAGGACATTATTAGAGATGATGCAATGGGATTTATTGCCTTAAATATCCTTGAGTTGGTTGACTCAAATCCAGTTGAAAGGAAAAGGGAAAATCTATTGTGTGGAAAGGGTGGAATTACATTTTCTTCAATAATAACTCAAGAAGGGGAAAGTGGTAACACTGCTAAAGAATTAGCTTCACTTGGAGAATACTTCTTTCTTGAACAACAACAAGAAGTAAAGGAGTTCAAAGAAATTCAAAAGGATAAAAAGCAAGAAGAAGTCCAGAGGCATGATGAGACTCCAAGCCTTGAAGAAATTAGGAAACTTGAAGAAAGTGAAGATATTAAAGAGCTCAAGGAATGTAAAAAAACAGAAGTTCAGAGGGTTGCAGAAGTAAATGAGCTCATAAAATGTTCCAAGTTGGAACAAAGTAATAAAGAAAAACTTCAGATGCCCAAAAAAACACTGACGCTTGCAGAGGCTAAAAAGCTTGAACAAGATAAGAAGATAAAAAAAGGTCAGATGCATGATGAAGGAAAAGAGGTTGAAGAAGCAAATATAAAGGAAGAAGATTGGGTCTTTAAAAAAGCTCAGATGCTGGAAGAAAATAAAAAGCTTGAACAATCCCAAGAAGTTAAGCAAGGTGGAACCTTACAGCTTATTGTTCACTGTGGAAAAAATCTGGCCAATAAAGATGTCTTTGGTAAATCTGATCCCTATGTTGTAGTTGAATATGACAGACATAAATTCAGATCTAAAACTGTTAAAAACCATCTTAATCCAAAATTTGAATTTGCAGTAGACCTGCAAGTTGACAAAAACTCATCTGATGAAATTTACATAAACTTGTTTGATGAAGATATTGGTAAAGATGATGCCTTAGGTTTTGCAGTTCTAAATGTGGAAGAACTGATCAGGCAGAATGCAGACACTAAAGTAGTTGAACTGTTGAATGTGAAAAGTGGTGAACTTTATATATCCTCTGTTTTCCATCAAAAAGAAATCGACTCTGAAAAAGAAGAACCTAAGAGTTACCAGGAAGCTCTAAAAGAACCTCAGAAGCCAAAGGCTTATAAAGAAGCAAATGAGCTTTTAGAACCAAAAACAGTGGGAGAAGCTCAAAGTCTTAAAGAAATTCAGAAGCCTGAGATAGCTGAGAAGCTCAAAGACACCAAGAAGCTTGACGAAAGAATCATGATGGAAGAATTTCAGAACATTGAAGAAGTAAGACAATTTGAGAAAAGTAAGAAGCTTAAAGAAGTATGGGAGCTTGAAATAGATCAACAACTTCAGGAGGCACATAAGCTTCATGAAAGTAAGGAGATAGAGAATAAATTGAAGTTTGAAGAAAATTTTGAATTTGACAAAGCTCAGAACCTCCAAAACACTCAGGTGCTATTGGAAAGGAAGAAACAGACAGAGAAAGAGCATGTACGTAATATTAAACAGGATGGAGTATTGCAGCTCAATATTCACAATGGAAAAAATCTAGCCAACAAAGATTCTTTTGATAAATCTGATCCATATGTTGTGGTTGAATATGGCAGCAAGAAATATAGATCAAAAACAGTTAAAAACAATCTAAATCCCATTTTTGAATTTGTGGTAAGCTTTATAATTGACAAAAACTCTTCTGATGAAATTTACATAAACGTGTTTGATGAAGATATTGGTAAAGATGATGCTTTGGGTTTTGCAGTACTAAATGTAGGAGATCTAATAAGGCAAAATGTAGACATTACTGTAGCTGAACTCATGAACGTTAAAAGTGGTGAACTTTATATTTCCTCTTCCTTTTCTCCAAATGAAACCATATCTGTGCAAGAGCTGACAGTAGTAAATACTTCTGAAGAGACAAGTTTTAGAAAAATTCAAGAAACAGATGAACTTGTAACAATAAGAGATATTGTAAAAGATCAGGCATATATAGAGGCTGAGAAACAAAAGCCTGTTGACATTGAATCTAAATCAAGTTCTATTGACAATAAGAAGAGGGATACCATATCTTTGCATATTCATCGCGTTAAGAAATTGTTGCTGGAGAATCCAGTTCCCCTGAATATTTTTGTAACTGTAAGTCTGGATTCAGAAGTCAAAAAGTCATTCAAATCAATATATAATGAAACCATAGTATTTGATTTCAAGTGTCATTTTGGTGTTGATGGAGGATCTGGTGAAACATTAACTATCAAGATTTTTGCAGATAACAGGGATGAAGATTCACAGTGCCTCGGAAAATGTATTCTAAGCATTGATGAAGTGAAAGATAAATGTATTTTAGAAACTTGGATGCCTTTGTCTAATACAAAGTCTGGCGACATTCAGCTATCTGTGCAGTATAAAACTATCATTAATGAACCAGTTGTAAAAACAGTTTTATCTAGACAAACTTTCATTTCAAAACAGGAAGCTGAAATGCCAGTAGAAGAAGAAAAAGTTATCATGCAAATGACCAATCTTGGAGTTGAAGATATATCCATTATTGAAAAATTGGATGCCAATGAAGAGAGGATACTGTTAGAAAATGTTTCCAAGTTGCAAAACAATATGTCCTTTAAAATTGAGGAATTGGTGGGCACTATAAGGAATGCTGACAAAACTCTCCTTACTACGGATAATATAAACTATTTTTCCTCAAAGACAAATTTAGATAACTGTGGGAATATAACAGAATTTACTTCTTCTCATTCCATTACAACTGAATCTTACTCTTTCTCTCAAAGTCATGTTGATAACCAAGGAAATATAGTTCAGGCAAGAGATGTTATTTTTCAACATAAATTTTCTCCAGAAAATGAAACTTCTCCAACTTTTGATGATGTTATTTATAATGAATATCCTCATTTATTTAAGCCAACTTTAAACCAAAGTTTAGAAAAAACAGAAATAGTCAACAAATATTGGCATACCTCACAGCAACCTTTTGAGAATATTTCAAGCTTCCGGGCCCATTTTGTCCAATCATTTTGTGATGAAAACAATTTTGCTGAAAAAAACAAAACAAAAGATCAAATTTCAGTAGATAATTCAAAAGTAGAAGATTACTTTAATGCAAACTCTGAAGTTGTTGACAAATTTGTCTTAGGAAATCAGGATCAAGACATTTTTAAGTTATCACAACAGCATTTTCCTACATTTGGTTTAGGAAAATTTGAAGATGATTTAGAAAGTGGATTAGGAATGCTGTCTCCTGACACCACAACTCTAAGAACACTTGACACAAATGAAGGAGGGCTTCAAAGTTTAGATTTTGTTGGAGATTTGGAAGTTCTGGAAAAGGATGCGCCTTGTTCTGCAGAATCTTACACATCTCAGCTTGATTGTTTCATTTATGGTTCTGAGAAAGAAATTGCTGAAATTTATTCTGAAAACTTGATTGATGATGGTGAAATATTTCCAGAATCAAAGGCAGTAAGTTCATCAGAATACCAGAGTTCATTATTAATCAATTCTGTTGCAGAATGGATGAAACCTCTAATATCTTGTAACTGTTTGCAAAGTAAGAATTTCTGGATTAGTGGAGAGGTAGTAAGAGAGCCATCCCAATCTTTAAACAACCCTGATTTTTCAAGCACTGATGCTTCTCCTTCTAGTGAAATGTCTTCAAGATTGGGCTGTTCTCCTAGATCACCTTTGTCAATTGTTAAGTCTCTGTCTCCTACTGATTCTGTACAATCTCTTCCCTCCAGCCCAAGAAAAACTGTTAGATCAGTTTCTGTCAAGAAGCTTACTTCTGAAAGCTTTTCATCTGAGAATGACATATCCAGAAGTTTGGAAATTGTGTATGTGGAACCAGAGTTTGACCCAAAAGAGACCTTTACTGCACAATACAGAACACATTCTCCTTTAAACACTGACAATTCAAAGTTTGAGAAGAGAAAACCTTCATTTACACAGTTGAAGAGACCTACTTCCTATGATCTAAGATCTGACTCACCAGACAAGGGAAACTTATCAGAATCCGATATTCCTTCTAGTGCAAGTCCAGATATTTTTGAGATTTCTAAAGCAACAAGTGCAGAATTCACACCTTATGTCTCTGACATTGAACCTGTTTTGAATAAAAAACTAACTTCTCCTACTAAAATAATTGCACCTTACACTTCCTCACCTCCTGTTCAACATGTTGTTTCTAATGAAACAATTTCTCCCATTTTGGAAATCCTTTCCCAAACCCCTCTGAGGAGCCCTGAGAAAAAGTTTGAGTATGTGCAAGGTAACCCACCGTTGGCACTTGCTCATAGACGGGTAGTCCCCAATGCATGTGCTTAAAAGCTTGAATTTCACAGATATACACAATTATCTACTAATTCTGCACATTGCCTTTTTGCTTTTTTGTCTCAATTTTTACTTTTTAGCATGAATAAGCCAGATCTTTGCCCAATTTAATGTCACTTCAAAGGTTGTGTTGGTGAAATTAAAACTAATTGTTTTCTCTTACAATATCTAATTCTAGTTTTGGCTAACATTTTTATATTTACATGATACTACATCCTAACAATTTATTTATAAAATTAATCAACTAATTCATGCTCAAAAAATGTAATGAGGTGTGTATAATACAATGATTTAAAGGTCATGCTATTAGTTTGAATTTTGATATGGCATATTGTCCACCTAAGAAAAACTCTATTGAGGACTGTAGTGATGATGATTTAGGTGTTTTAATCAACACAAGCGTAGAAAAAAATTCTACCAACCCATCAAAAAAGAGAAACAGAAAGGCTCAGTTTAGAGGTTTCTATCAATCTCAAAAAACCCTTGTTATAGATTCTACTGGTAGCTCTTTTGATAAAATGGAAGAAGTACCTCCAAAGGATATTGATGACACTGATGCATTTGATCAAATAGAAGAAGGTAGCTGCTCTGATAATTCTGAATTGAAGCCTAGGGATCAAAATATTCCAAAAATCATTGAAGATTTGGTCCCAAAACTTGATTCTGAAGTGTCCTTTGCTGAAGAAGGGATAACTGAGTATTCCCAAATTAGCTTCAACAAAGATGATATCAATCAGCTTATGCAAGATTTGGCAAACTCAGGAGAAAGTAAAATGATACCCTCAAACTCATTGGTAAATATTACCCAGAATGCCAAAACTGAAATGCTCTTGGGTGTAGAGAATGACACTAGCGATGAGGATATATCTGATCTAGGATCTGACTATCAAACATCAGCACCTGAAAAACGCAAATTAAGAATTTCCCTTCGAAATTTGAGTGATTCAGAAGATGATAGGTCTAACTCAACCCAAGATTCCCTATTGACCCCCAACAAAAGTGCTCCATTAGATGATGAAGAAATACATACAGATGAGTCGGATATTGAAGTCACTGACATGGATTATTATAAGATACGGCATCAAAATGAGAATAAATTTCCTGCAACTGAGTTTTCTTTGTCTTGGTCTCCTACTAAATTTGTTCCTAATAATTTGATGACCAATCCACAGATTGAGAGAAATGTCCGACTGTTTCAGAATTTTCCACAATATCCATCTATTGATATCCCCCAAGGCTACTCTTATGATGGAGAGCTGGCTGATGATGTTCAGATCCCATGCAAGGAAGATGATTTTATGTCTATTGAGGAGTTTATTGAAGCTCACAAGACAAACTTTGATCTTGATGGTATAAAAGGGGAATCCAAGGTAACCATCAACCTTAATCCTGAAGTTGAAGAATTTTGTGATGAAGAGGAAAATACAGAATCAATGCGAGAAAGTCTAGGAAGCAGTTCTGGATCTAGAGGAGACATTGACTACGATTACTCTGAAGAAACAGATGTATCAGAAGTCGACACATCATTTGCTGAGAATCACAGAAATATGGAGGCAGGAGAAATTATTTTAATGGAACATGATGACTTAGAAGGAACTATTGCAGTTTTTGCTCCAAAAAAGGGATCTTCAGCTGCATCTGAATCTTTAAACAAGACATCATTCAAACCTGAGCTGGCAGATTTAAATGATGATTTAGAGTTTGAGGAAGTTGAATCTGAGCAGTTGGAAATAAATACTTCAGATAATGATCTAATTTTGGGTGAAACAGATGAAGAAGACTTTTCTGGAGCCGGCACCTTGGAAATGGATACTTCTAGGCCAGATGGAGCTACTCACCAGAGTCTGCCTCTTCCAGCTGCAACCAGGAGATTACTTCAGATTTCAGAATCCATTGAGGGAGACACTTTGATCTGTGAATCTGAACTGAAAGATGATCCAGCGCCAATGAATGAGGAAGTTCCTACTGATGATGAGATTATTGATGGTATGCAAGATTGTGCAATAGATAAAGCTGAAGCTCAGTTTCCTTCATTTGCTTCTCCAGTAACAGAGAGTTCTAAAGTTCACAAGAAAGAAAAGAACAAGATAAGAAAAAAAGCCATGAAGAAAAAGGTGTCTACTCCTGTTGTTGAAGAAATTTAGATTTATAATACATATTTTTAGGTTTGTTAATTTTCTCACAGTAAAAATAAAACATGTATTTTGTAGATATATAAGTATCAGAATATATAAATGCCATGGATCCAAGTAGAACTATTGTTTATATGTATTTCTGTAGCTTAGACATTACCCTGTACATTTTTTTGCTTCGTTGAGTGTTGATTTTGCCGAAAGAAGAATATCACTGTCACATGTTTAGTAGTTAATAGTTATGTTCTTCTTATTTTTAGGAAACCATAGTTAAACAATTTATTAATTTACTTTCAGTTCTATTTGAAGTAGATGATTTTTATACTTAATAATATAAAGTATTTATTTTTACAGCTGTGAAAAGCGCACTTAAACACTAAAACATTAATTCATTCAATTAAGAAAACTAAAACTATTATCTTAGATTTTTGATGTTTTTCTTACATATTTTTTTGTTTAGGATTAAAGGAAACATTGGAAGAAAGCTTTGAGATAATCGAACCAAGTTCTCGATCAGGTAACCATGCATACATAATTATTTATTGAATTGTGTTCACTGAGATATAAATATAATTGAGATAAGATTTAGTAATAAATTTACTTTTCAAAAAATATTTTTTCCATAAAAATCTTTTCCAAACCCCTTAATCCCCCAAACCTCTTGCAGCTTTTTACAAAAGTGTTTTTTTGATGAATTTTAGGGTTTAGGGTGTCCAGAAAAGGGATGATGGTTTTTGTTCAGTGTAGTACATTTAAAATCCTTAAGTTTGGGCCCAAGGATATAACCTTTAAACAGGTTTTTATCTGTAATTTTTTTCTGTTATGAGGAGGGTTAACATTTAAAAATGATGGATGTTCTTAATCATATGTAGCCAATGACCGATCATGTCAAACAAAACATTTGTTCAAAAAGTTGCAACATTTATTAAAATCAGTCATGCTCATGGTTTTTTTACCAGTTTACCATGGAACAAAAGAAGCTTAGTTTTATCCGAGTTTTTTCCGCAAAGATTTTAAATTAATGGTTTTGATGGATGTTCTTTCTTTACATTGATACATTCTAATGATAAATTTGCTATCACAAGACGGTCAAATCATAATCTGAATTTCCCAGCTCCTAGCAGGATCACAAAACTTATCTCTACCTTAGTTCATCCGGCTCATCCTGAATTATTTCTAATATTTTGAACACTATTTATTCAAAATGTTTATTTTCAATTTTTATTCCTAAGAATTTAAGAATCTTAGTGATCATAAGTCATGCAGTTGTACCCTCAGAGCAAGATTTTTAGAAGATTTGTTTCCTTAATTTGCCATTTTCTTCATCTTTTTTGGTCCCCTAGACATTTTTTAAAATTTCATCTATATATAAATTTGGCTTGTCTGTCTGTTTGTTTGTCTGTTTGTTTGTTTGTTTGTATCCAAGAAACGTCAAAACGGCTGAACCGATCGGGCCCAAATTTTTTGTGGGACATCTAGGGACCCCAGGGAAGGTTTATGAAAAATCAAAATTTCAAATATTTGTCTCTATCAAAATTCGATCGTCATTAAATTTTTAAAAATTTTGAAAATCCGCGAAATTTTTTGTAAAAATCCGCGAATTATTTTTGTTTTGTTTTACGATGTACACAAAGAGAACATGTTCACAACTAATTTAGAAGATGGGCGCGAAGCGCCATCTAAGGCTAGAAAGAAGGGCGCGAAGCGCCTTGAATTTCTAGTATCCTAAAAAATGTGTTTAATTTATGAAGTTTTCAAGTATTATCGTTTATTGTTTATAAAAAACTTTTTTTTACCTGTGCATATGGAAATTGTAATTTTAACACTTTAACCACATTTTCTATTTAAAATATCCCTTAACTGGCTCGTGAGGGCAAATTCAAGATTAGTATTTTTCGAGAAATGTTTCAATCTCTTCCCTGTTCTATATACATAATATATTGTGGATTTTTAGACTAATTTCCTTCCGTTATTCTGGGCTTAGAACCAACATCTAGAAAGACAGATTATTAGTTGGATAATACTTATAAACATTTTTTGTCATTCAGTACATAAAATTGAGAGCAACCATTCATCTGATGTTTTGACACTCCTTATAACAGAAACAAGGAATATCCCCTACCATACTTATACCTATATATAAGGACCCAGATGTGAGGCTTTAAATATGCATAAACATGCTTTAAAACTTCTAATCACTCTTTTATTCAGGACACCCATAAGGTTAAATTTGCAATAAATTCCATTTTAATTTTATGTCACGGAAAAAAGATTTCAAGCGATAAAATAGTTTAGTCTTCACTAGTGCAGTAAACAATATGCGTGAAAATTCAATCTATTTTTAAGAGGATTATTTCTTAATATACTTATACTTAGTGAACCAGGATTAGTTTTGAAAGCATGCTTAATATGAACATGATATAGCGCATTGGAGTGAACAGTATATTAATATACATGTCTGAATTTTTGAAAATCGATAATGGACCGAGGGCTGAGCTATATTACAAACTGTACACCTAAATGCGCTAAAAAGATCCTATGAAATTACGAATTTGTAAGGCTGACTGATAGAGACAGTATGAAACCATTGCATTTACCCTCCAAAATACATCCTTACTGCATTTTTCTTAAATCTTTTCATATTTTTTGTGCTAATTTGTCCTTACGAAAAAAAAACATGGTACTCAATGTTGGGGTAACATTAAATTTTACTGATGAGAAGGGGGGGGAGGTCTTGTAATATACATAAATAGAAAAGTTCAAGAAACTCATCCAATTTATTTCATGCTGTACAGAGGATTCTGGTAAATATATAATCCCTGGATCAAATTCATCCTTTAATCCACTTTTTGTTGCCTCTCAACCTTCAATCCCTTCTACAACAACACCCTCCCAATACACAGCTACCCTTGTATGTAATCCAGTAGATTCTAAGCAGAATATTCAAGTTGCACCTGAGAATTCTACCAAGAAGATACTTACTACCGAAGAACACATTAACTTACCTGAACCTATTTTTGGTTTACAGAATCCGACTGGAGATAGTATTAAAGATGTATGTGAAGATATTTCAAAAGATCAAACTTCTGCCGATGTGAAGTTAAGAAATCGTGAAGGAATAATAGATCACAAATTTGAACGTTTGTCAGCTGAAATCTCTTCAGAAGAATTTGCTGCTGCTGAATATAATCTTGTCTCTCTCCAGCTCTCTCAAGAGGATCAAGAGGAAGCAGTAGAGCACTTTGATAAACTCATACAAGACAACTTCTTGGAGGATAAATCTGAGGATTGGTCAAGCAATGAATCATTTCATATTGGTGACATTGAACCTGCTGTGTCCAACTGTTCTCCAGGTTATCCTGGAGCGATGGTTCATACATATAATTCTGACCAAGGTGAATCCATGCACAGTACTTTTAGTAAATTCACTTTTAACATAGAATGCACTGTAAGGATGTATTTTGAAGATGTAAAAGTAGATGACATAGACATAGACGGACTGTAGGGGTTAATCGATAATAAAATGTACCTATTGTATTTGTATGTATTTTTAAATTGTTTTGGATGTTGTTGAGCACTTTTGGACATTGAATTTTAGGTTCAAATAAATTTGTTCTTAGTAAAAGGTTCAGATTCAGATGATCTTGATGTGGAGTTTGAACAAGTTAACTCTGTCTGTGAGGAAACAAGTGTTGCACAAAAAACAGAAAATTTTGTTGAACAGTTAGTGTCAAAAAATGTTGAAAACTCTGAAGAAATAACATTTCAATGCTTATCTGAAGATTTATCTCAACAATATTCAGCAAGCAAAGTTATTGGAATCATGAAAGCAACTGCAGAGGTTATCCAATCTGAACATAAAAGTGCTGATACCAGGGAAACTGGATTAAAAAGAGAATTAAGTGGTTTATCTGAGAACTCTTTCCAAGGATTGACTCGTGAACCTAGCTTTGTTTATGACACTACAGTTGAGGCATTTAGTGCCCATGGAGCTTCTGTTGATGATCTTCTGAATGCTGAGGATGAGAATGATGTAAATACAGAGGAACCTGAAGGGATCTCAATCATTGGTAAACTAGTAATTGGTCTGTCAGGAGGAAATGATGATTTTCAGGAACCTGGTCAATTGACTCAAGTTTCCATTGCAGATATTTCTTCAAGTCCAGGCGAACCTATGCTTTCCGTAGAGGGAACAGAGATGGAAGGCGCCGGTGTTGCGATACCTGGTGACAGGAAACAAGTATCACTGTACCAGGAAACTATTTCTACAACTCCGGAAGCTGAAGATTATTTTATGAAAAGAGAACAGTCTTTCATTGGTAAGATAGTTCGTGGTGAGGTTAGTAGTTTGGCTGTGGATGTTTCTGACTCCTTTAACCCCAGTAATTCTGGAAAACTATGTGTTAAACCTATTTCAAGAAGTTCTTACTCAGAGATAGAAATTTCAAACCTTGATTTTAAAAGTGATTTAATTGTAAAACCTGTGGATGAGAAGCTGAAAACAATTTCTTCTTATGAAACAATCTATGACCATGTAGCATTGGAAGAAATTGCTGCAAATAGACAAATTTCCATAGAAGAGTTGCTTGGTAACCTTGGGGATAGATTTGAAGGAACCAGATTGCTTCCAGAGCAAGCCTTTAGCTCAGAAGAGCTTTATCAAGGTCAGGCAGATGCTTCATCTGATGTTGGTGTAAACCGGAACCGATGGTCTGCCCCACCAGGATCCCTTGATCCTCCAGATTTAGAGGATCAGTTCACAATTCAGTTTGACTTAGTTGAAGAGCAGGGGCAGGAACATTGGCAGGAGCTTGACATCATTCTGGGTTCAGGAGGTTAGGAGAGTGTTACCCTACTTCTCCTTTTAGAAGATACTAACAATAGATTGCTATCTGTTTTGAACTGATTTGATTGTTCATAATCATACCTAATACGCATTGTTTGTTGTGCTAACATGAATTGTTTGAAAATATGAAAATATGAATGTTTGACAGACAAGACATTAAGAGTTTTTTTTTAATTTTTACAACTAATTTATAACTATAGCTTGGAGAAAAAAGTTGAATTTTTTTCTCCAAGTTTTTATGTAGTACTTTTTCACTTAGATCATTTAAATAGGAATAAATACTCTGTTAATATTTATTTTTTTATATCTTTCATGTCAAAAGAATTTGTGTAAGCAAAGTATTTATTCCGTAAAGTGACTGTTGTTGTGATTTCAAATGTTTTTTTCATTTAAGAGTGGTATATCTGTGCAAAATATCAGTGCAAACATGTGAAAGAAATTGTTTTTCTAGTTTTTTTATGACAGTTTTCTCCATTTTTCTGTGACAGAAATGTGCATGTCACTTTACAGAGAAACCATAATTGAAAATTATAAATTTTGAAGATTATGAATATTTCATGCATTCTTGATAAGACAAAGCTTTTAAGGGTGCTGTTGTGACACAGAAATGTCATTCAAAAAATGGAAATTCACTTGAGATTACATCAACAGTCCCTTTAATGTTGTCAGTGCACTAACTTCTGTGTTTCGTGTGTTAGGTGTGGAGCTGAAACATGAACCCAGCTCAGAATATTCAGAAGAATCTGAACCTGAATCCCCCAAATCGACATCTCCTAAAGCATCTTCTGGGTCTAAATCCTCCTCACAACAGTCAGGTGCATCTAGATCTTCTAGTGCTGCCTCCTCTCACGGAAGCTCCAAGGAGGATCTTAGCAACTTGAAGGAGACAGAACAGGAACTTCTTGATGAAATAATAGTCAAAGATGTTCCTGATGTCTCTACAGATCCTGTTCTCCAGTTTGAAGACAATAGAACTTCCATTGAGTCTATTCAAGAGGACGCAGAGGACCAACACTCTGAATGTAAGGATTTAATTAATGATATGGTCACTTCTTATACTAACCCAACATTGAATTTCCTTTCCCCCAATTCCTTTTCTAATCCTAATGAAATGCCATCTAAAGAGGAACAAAGCTCTAGTACAGGTTTAGCTGCTCCAGATTCAAAGGATTCTCTTGAAGTGCATCTTTACTCTGTCAGCGATGATATTTCAGAAACAGCATCTGTCAAGGATGAGACAGAGAAAGCAAGAAATTACTCAACGCCATCAGAGGATGAATCTGCTGTAAGTATTGAACAATCAGCTTTAATCAATGTGAATGAAGCTGATCAAGACATAGTGTTTGAAGAAAAAAAAATAGTTGAAGCCAGAAAAGAAACTGAAGATGAAGATGAAAGATCATCAGGAGAAGAACATTTTGAATTCATTCAAAATGAAGAGTTAAAAGATGAGATTCAAAATATCGGTGAGATTACTGACGTTGGATCATCAAAGTATGATGAAATACACAATGTTGAAGAAGTTGAGGAAGAAGTATACAGTGAAGTGAAAGCTAAGCAGATTGTTGAATCAGTTCAAAAAGAGGCTTTAACAGAGGCAGAAATAAAATCAAGAAAAATATCAGAAGTGATCGAAGCTTTTGAAAAGATAGAAACTGATGAAAAATCTGATAAAAGTATTGAACATGGGTTGAAATCTGCTATTTCAAAACTAGAAGAACATATTACTCAAGAGGATGAATGTGTTGCAGTATCTGCTTATAAGACTACTAGAAGTATGAGCTCAAGCTCAGAGGAAGCCTCCAAGCTGTTTGCACAGGAATCTACTGACTCTAATTCTGCTTCTGGGTTAGAAGGACAGAACTTTACTGATCTTTCTATGTTAGAAAAAGGAAATAATTATGAACACTCATCTTTGAAACAAACCATGAAGAAATTAGAAGCACATATTTCATCGGAGGATGAATGCATTGCAGTAACTGCATACAGAACTACAAGTAGCATGAGTTCCACCTCTGAGGAAGCCGGTATAGCTCCTGCTCATGGCTCTATTGACTTAATTAGGTCTGATGCAGAGCTCGGAATTGTCACCCAAGATTCCACAGATACCTCTGAGTCTTCTAAGCAGGAGATAACTGAGGACACTGTAAAAATCCAAGAAGAAGTAGAACAGATAGGATCTATTGAGAATGATACTTCAGAAGCATTTAAACATAGTTCAACTGACTCTTCTGACACTGAAGAAAAAGATGAAGTCCATAAAGGTGCTGAGAGCTCCTCTGATTATGATACCTCTTCTGCTAAGCCTAGAGCTAAGCGTCCTGATTCATTTGTATCAGATACATCATCAGACTATGATTCCATGTCAAACCCTGGATCTAGGCGTCCACAATCTTTCTTAGTGGAGGATGATTTTGATATCATTACAGAAGAAGACATATGCCATTTAAAGAGTAAGCAAGATGACTTAAAGGAACTCAGTGAAGATGAAGATTCTCTGGACAAAAACCATCCAGACAAATCATTTGATAATGTGCATGATTCTTCCTCTGAGTCTGAAGGACCAGATGAGAAGAAACAGGAAAAGATCATCAAAGAAGAAACTTTATTAAGTATGGACCAAGATGGCATTTCTTCCATTCCTCGTCCCACATCCTCCTCTCCATTGCCTTCCTCCATGACCAACACTTTAGACCTGCATGCAAATCAGTCTACAGTGAGTGTAGATTTAGCTGTATCATCTGTCATTCATTCAAACACTCTGGAGGAAATTGACCCCTTAGTGGTTGATGGAAGTCGTGCCCCATCTAATTCTTCCCCTTTGGCGGATGGGTTCTTGCCTTCTTTGACCCCTTCCCCCCTTACTAGGAGCTCCGACTTCAACACTGAGGAAATAAATTCTTCTCAAGGTATCAGAAAATCTGCTTTTTAATGATCTGACTTCAAAATTGGACCATTACACTATTTCAGATTAGTAGAGTTATTTTTTGCATTTATGAAGTTTTTTGGGGAAATGATTTCTGTGGGCATATATCCTTTTTGTGTTTTATTGGTCCATTTTGAATTCTTAACATCATCAGCAGCTGAAATGCCTGTTTTGAGAATATGCTTATTATTTTTTTTGCATGTAAGGTCATTTTTATATTTTATTTTTGGCAAATTTGTTTTGCTGTCAATTGTATAATTTAATCAAATCTATTTTTGAGATCGAGTTAGGGACCTGAGTGCAGCACTTTTGTAAAATTTATTTAATTTGTAAAGCTTGATCTTGCAAAATATGTTTTTTTTCACAATTAAGTGATAAGGGGAAATTTAAGAGATTAAATTATTGCTTGTAAGTCGGGGCCCCAACAAAAGGGGTTTCTTTGCATGCTAGATATTGTATGTTTCCTATGTGATTTTTCTTTCTTTCTTTAAGACTTAAGTAGTTAGTTTCATTGCCAACCAATGGTTTAATAATGCATTCTTAAATGTGTAAACTGTAGCCTTAGCTTTGAATGTTGTATACTCTACTGTACAGTATATGCTTAGTCAAATATTAATACTAAATAAACCAGAAGCTTGTAAATTGGTTCAACATATAAAATATATTTACTTGGTATTGATTACTATGCTGGTAAGATGCATGAATAATATAGACCACTCTCCATCTTTACTAACCATACTAACAATCTTTTTTCTTTTTAATGCTAACGCTAGACCTGAGGAATGAAGAAGATAAGACAACATCTTCCTTTTCTAAAAGCGTCAAATTGTCCTTTCCTTCCCAAACAGATTCCCCCATTAAATCAACGCATATAGAATCCTCCCAGCCTACTCAATCTAGTTCCTTTGATCTTAAAAGTAACACAATTCAATCTAGCAGGTTTACTTCTCAAAGTCAGGATCTACAAGCTGTGCTTGAGGGTATATCTAAAAGTACAGTTTCTACCCGGCTCTCAGAGTTACATAAAGAAGAACACAGCGTTTTTATTAGTGTCACTGAACCTGCTACAGAAGATTTTGTAATGGTTAGACGAGAAAGTAGCAAATCCACAGATTCAGAGCCTTCCTTTAGATGCAGACATTTGGGATCAAGTTCATCAGAGAAAAGCATGGAAGAAAAGATGAGGCATGACACATCATTTAGAAGTTCATATGAAGGATCAGAAATAGCTTCTCCAAATAACACTGATCAGTTTGATGCCTACACCACTCAGACCATGGAAGAAGATGACCCTATGAATACAAATGAATATAAACCTATCCCAAAGCACAAACAGCTACAGAAGATAAACTCAACTGACCTTCTACACAGAAATATAAAGGAAACTATTGTACAGCAGGTTATGTGTGAGGATGATGATAGTGTTATGTCTGAGTCCACCATTACAACCTTGAAAAGTGATAATGATGACTTCACAGCAATCATTGAAAGCAGAAATATGGAATTAGAGTTTTCAGTTGATAAACCTATTCAGAAACTTAGTGACATTGGCAGTCACAAAGAAGAGCATGCATTTAAGACAGCAGAAGAAATCTTTGTGGAAGAACCAGATTGGGAGCTTGTTGAGACCCAAAAAGAAAATGAAAGAATTTTAGGGGAAGAAGAAACAGTTTTTAAGAGATCTATGACTCCAGAGCAAGCGCTAGAAATTGCTTCTGAGATAGTTCAGAATGTTCAAGTAGAGGCTGTGAAACGATATGAGGCAATGAAAAAAAGCAACAGCTTGCCTAAACCAACCCCAGACTCTAAATACACTCCAGAGACAAAGGAGAAGGTTCAAGTTTATCTAAAGGAGTTAGAGGAAAGTGAGCAGTATGACCATGTTGCTGCTGAACTCATTACACATGTTGTTTCAAAAAAAGAGGAACAGTACATGAAGATGAACAACCAAATCAGCGTTGACATTACAGATGAAGAGCCCAGAAGTGATGCTATGATGTCTGAACTGAGAAATGAACTAGGGAGAAGCTCTGTAACTGATGAAGACCTTGTGACTGATTTAACAACTGAACTTTTAGAGGAAAATACAATTGAGGAGATGAAGAAGCATCTTGAATCTACCCTCCATTCCCATGAATTTCAATTGGAGTCTAGTTTTAAATTCCAGACTTCTTTCAGAACACACTTTGTAGATGATGTTTATGGAACTTCAGATGAAAATGATGGTAAAACATACACTGAAAAGGAATTTCTCTGTACAGAAAATGATGATATTTATAACTTTGAAGAGCATAAAAATTTGTCTAGCTCCCAACAAGCTGATTCTTTCATTTCTGAAGACATTTGGGAACAGGAATCAAAAAGTGTCACTAAACAAGATTTCATCAAACTTAGAGAAAAAAAATCAAATACTGAATCAGATTCCTCTGGATCTAAGCAGAGTTTCAGAAAGTCTGGAACAGACCATGAAGGTTACAGTTCTTCTGGCGAAACCTACTCAGCTGATCGTAACAATTCTAGTCTAAGCAGACCATGCTCCAGTGATGTTGAAGCAATTATGTCAGCTGTATCTGAAAAATCTTCAACAACTGGAAACACTGAATATGTCACTGCTCATGATCATTCTTCTGCAGATACATCATTTTTTACAGCAGCTTCAACTTTGAGTTCTAGAGGATCTGTAATTTCATCTGAGAGCTCAGGACATCTTGGTAGTAGGGAAGTTTCTGAATGTTCAGAAACATTAATTGAATCCAGTTTAGATTTAGATTCCCATCATGATGGAGCAGATACTCCAAACACTTTTAACCAATTACAGTATGCATTGGAAGAGAGCTCTTTTTGTCCTTTGGAATCAGAAGATAGCACTCCATCTACTGAGAAATCTCATGGATCAGCAATGCAAGTAGGAAAAAGTCAAGAAAATAAGATATTGACTTCTGATGACATTGATGGATGTTGTTTTAGCCAATCTCTTCAGGATGAGGAAAATGAAAAAGAATATTTGATTCAGGATGGAAAGAACAGATTTGGTTCCATGTTTTCAGAATCCAGAGAGACACTTAGTTCAAGTGTTTTAACATTGTCTAGTGTGTCTGAAATCACTGTAGTTGGAAATGAAGCTTCTTACAACAAGATGATTTCTTCTCAGTATAGTCACAGTTCTGTTGAAAAGCAAAGTGATTCCCTCTCTGTATCTCAGCTGTTAATGACAGAAAGTAGCTCATCATCCTCAAGTGCTGCAATATATACAACATCAAAAGCTGAAAGCAGTGAAGTTCCTTCTTCATTTGAAGATCTGGCAAAAGATAACTCAACTGAACAGGACCAGGTTTTTTTCATGCCACGGGTGCGAAGCTTTGAGGGAGCGCATTCCGTGCAGATATCTATCCCTCAAGAACAATCCTTAGATTTAGGATCGGAATTTGACTCAAGACCAAATTCAGAGCTTAAAGATGTTGAATCAAGACCATTGTCAGCACAAAAATTAAGTAGATCAAACTCTCAAGAAGATCAGAAGACTGGGTTTTCAAGGAGAGCCTTCTCAATTGATGAAACTGTTTCAGATGGACTTAAGGTATTTGAGCCTTACTGCAGACCAAAGTCTCCAATGCCATTAAATGAGAGTAATCGAAGTAGTCTTGATTCTGAAAGTATGCAGTTAAGAGTTGGTGTTTCATCTTCAGTTCGATGTCCTTCACCCTTTAATCAAAAATATCAGTCTGAAGAATCCATTGAAACAGAACTAGCATTTTCCAAACATTTTACACAAGTTTTAGATGACAGTGAATATGAAACTAGTGAGATTATTAAAACAAACCAAAATGAAAATGTACACCTTACAACTGGTCAGTTAATGGACCTAACTCCTGAGTCCTGTAATACTTCAGAATCCTTGGAAACCTCTCAAGGAAATGATTACTACTTAGAACATGATGGAAAAGAGTTTAAAGCTAGGTCTCCTAAACTTCCATTTGATTTGGAAGATGATCTGCTGGTAGGTTCACCTCCAATGGTAAGCAGACCTCTTGGAGTAAAATACTGGCCCCCAGTAGATAATCTTGACCAAGAGCTTGATGCTTGTGGTCCTTTGGAAAAGAGAAGAATTGTAAGATCTGAATCTGATGATAACAGTGAGAGTAGACTGGAATTAGATAATGAAATGATTGAAAAAGAAGTTGAGCAAGGTAAGCGTTGGCTTGAAAACCAGTTTGAAGAAACACCAGATGAATTTGGAAATTTTAGTTATGGTCAGCCTTTAGATCAGATACTGGAAGAAGAAGAAGATCGATACTCCTACACTACAGAAGATATGAAAGAGCTTCAAAAATTTAAAGAATCTTTAACTTCAACTCCTGACTTTGATTCAATTATAAATAAACGCCATCAAGTATCAAAATCAGGAGATGATGATCTTTCAATGGGAAGTTTAACAGAATTTGAAAGGTTAGAGAGAGAAGTTGCTTTGGGCTCTGGCAGTGGAAGTAGAGGTTCTCTAGGTTCCAATGATTCCCTGGAAGTTTATAGTAACGGAAGTGGCACTGGAACAGGAGCTGGAAAGCCAACTCATTTATCAGTAAAAACAGTCTCTAAATCTGGTCTAGGAGACAATATTTCTGTCAGTTCATTAAATTCTCTGAAGTCTTTTGAAATGATTGAAAGTGCTTGTGCAGAGGCGGCACTGATAGAAGCCAAGGCTAAACATCAAGAAGAGGTACTCTCTGAAATAGAGGAAGGACATGAAAGTCAAGTTTCAGAGTCAGAATCATGTGAAACAATTTCTGAGTGTGGACAGAAATCTGATGATGAATATGAAGATAGGTTGTTCGAAATTGACAGCATCATTAAGCAAGCACAAGCTAATGTGGAAAAGTTTGAAACAGACAAAAAGCAAGTAGGAGAAATATTACTGGCGGATATAATAGGTAAGCCAGAATCTAGGACAGCAAGCATATCTAGCACAGACAGTTTAGATGAATCGGTACCAGAAATTCAAAAGGAGTCACCCTTCAGACGACAGTCTAGTATTCCAACTAGAATTACTTCAGCATACGGTTCTAGAACTACTAGTGTGACTAGTCTTCAGTCTGTAACAAGTGCAAGCACCCTTACACAGTATGACCCAGACTCGGTTCAAGACAGAGATTTTGATGACGAGGAGCTTGACATAATGGGCAAATCTATGCACATTTCAATAGATAGCTTAAGGGCTAAATCTCCTGAAAATACTATGATAACATCCACTGACTCTCTTGACCCAAACACTCCTAGAGACAAGATGACCTTCTCCACAGATTCTATTGAAAATGCTAAAAGTTCAGACCACATGACAGTATCGTTGGATAGTTTGGATGGGGCCGGAAAGGAAGATAGAAGCAAGGACTACACATTTGAAACCCAAGGAGCAACATCAATGTTATTCACTAGTACAGATTCAATTGAGTCATGTAGTACAAATACAAGAGCAACTGCAAGCATGCTGTCATCCATGACATCTCAAGGATCTGAAACCCTTGTAGCTGATGATGAATTTGAGCATGATGATGAGGATTCAAGATCTGCAAGGAGATTTCTACTAAACCAGGGAAACTTGCTTTTTGAAGATTCAGATGACAGTACTACGTGTTCCCATTCAAGTCCCCAGCTTCCTGCTAGGCTTTTTAACAAAGATTCTAGCGAATGCCGGTTAGAGAAAATATCCACCAAGCCAGAACATGCAAATGTTGTGTCATCTGAAGAGGTTGTTGAAACAGAGGAGATTGATGAAAAAGGTAACCTTATTATAAAAAAGGTCATACAAAAAAGATTTTATTCTGAACAGACTCGACGTACTGAGAACAAGAGAGAAGGTTATGTTAGTGATGTCTCATCGGAGAAAAAGGATGATTCTTGTGAAGAAACCATGGAAGAAATAGATGAGTTTGGAAATAGAAAGGTTTATGTCGTGAAGAGATCAATAGAGTTTAACAAGAGTAAAACCATGGATGCTGTTGATGAAAGAGAACTTTTTGACCTATCATCGGCCGAGCCACTGTCAAAGAATCCAAAGTCCAAGAATTAACCTTATTTCACCAGACCCCATTTTTTATTTCCTCCAAGTCCATTTTTCTCCCATTTTCATATTCGACAATTTGACGCTTTATCTTCTCTCTAACTAACTGATCCAGGTAGCTTTCAGAATAACACATCACTGCTGTTGTAAAGTTATCCTCAACCCTAATTTTTAGCTTTTTCTTGGTTTGATGTATTTTTATTTGTTTATTTATTTAGCATGGTTCTTTAGTTCTTTTTTTTCTTAGGAATTTCTGATTTTGACTACGTTTCCCCTAGTGTTACCTTTAAAGGTTATATTTTTATGTTTTTATTTTATTTTAACGGTTCTTGTAGCCTAGAGTACCTTACCCATTTTCTTTTAACTATGTACTCAATTCTTGTTCAAGTTGTTAAATATTTTTAGTTTTTGCATGGTTATCATGCCATTGATTAAATTTTAAATAAAATTCTTCTTTATTCATATGCACTCTGACCTGCATGAAGGAGAGAGCTCTCCAAAGATGGTAGAGCCGGGCCCCCTAAAGATTTAAAAATGGAAGTTTTTAAGCATAATCGTAAAAAGTTACATGATTTTTTTAATGCATTTTGCCCCCCCCCCCCTCTTTCCGAATTTGCGCCACTGTTTTAAGTAATTTCCATCTTCATCGGAGAAAAAAGCCATTTATTTTTATCCATTTTTTATAAAAGAAAGAGAATGGTACCATGAGCATCGTCATTTTATTCCTTTATCCTGGATTTATGATTTCAAGACTTATCTAATCAATTTTATATCTGGAACATATTGTTATTTTATGGTTGCATTGTAATTAATCTAGTAGTGTAGAGATTATATTTAAGCTTACGCAGCAGTGCAGTGATCCTCTACCTTTTACCATCTATATAGCTTATTAATTCAATCAAAAGATGAAGTTTAGGTTTAAGGTTATAATTCTGAAATTTATTTGAGTAATCAAGTAAATATTCAGGCAATTTTTGAAGTACATAGTAATTCTGTATTTGTACCAGGGAAATATTCACGGTTATTACCTAAGTTTGAGGTATTTTGTGTTGTACCGTACGGTATTACAACATGAACAGCTAAGGCTACAAGGAACCTTTTTTTTCTTTTTCAACCTTTTTTCTTGTGTTCTCACGTTCAGTCAAATTTAACATTTTTTTTAAAATCTTTAAGATCTTGAGAGCACACATTATTCTGTTGCACCCTTTCTAGATCTTACTCACAAACTTTTTATAGAGACTGACGGTATAAAGCCTGGGTTCTGGATACTTGCTGCTTGCATTCTTCTCTTTGCTATCACTAAAAAATACCTGATGCATGATCAGTCTTTTACTGATCAGCATTAATCCAAATCTTTGTTTATGTTAAAACTTTTCGATCTCAATTAGATTTCCCTTATTAACCAAAATTTGCATTTATCCAATCCAAGTTGTCAAGTTTTTTTTTGGTATTCAATTTTTTTTAACATGCACTATGATTTAGTTCTCAGACAATTTTTTTCTCAATGTTTTCTTGTTTGGTTTCACATTTTCTGTTACACAATCTACTAGCACACCTACCCCCCCCCCCCCCCCCCCCCTCCCATTGCATGCTAGAAGATCCTGGTTCAAAGCCCCCGTAGGACGGTGAGCCCTTAAGTATCTTTATTAGTTAGATTTTTAGTTTTGCAATCATTTTTTTATATTTAGATATTGTTAATTAACTCATTAACTAAATTTTTATTTAAAAATCTTGATTGCTATATTGATAAAAAAAAATTTATTGAAATTTAGAAAAATGTCCTGAAAATCTTTTAGAATTCTTCTTAAAATGCGAATAAGCATTTTTTTATTTTTTTTATTTGTTAGAATAAATTTTTACTCTTGCTTTTTTAGAACAACCGCGAGAAGAGTCGAAATAATGTGGCCTAACCTACAAATTGTACAAATCGTACACATCAGAGTTTGTACTACAGTACAACGGATATATACAATACAACACCTACATCATTTACACAACGTGAAAATGTGAATATTTACAAATCGCGTAAAAGAATAATTTATGCTAAAGCTTTTAAATGTGTTAAAACTTTTTTTCTTTGATCTAAGCAGATTAAGATTATCTCAAGCAACCATGTTTCCTGTTTCTAGTTTACAGGAGGGGATGGGAGTATAGATTTATATATATATTAGTGTAAACAAACTTTATTCTATATTTGTTACATCTCTCCCATGCCTAAACCTGAACCTAAACCTATGTATATATGTTAATATATAAATATATATAAACATAGGTTTTCTTGACTGTACATACTTCTCATTCGTACTACACACCGCTTACTAATGTTATAATGTTAACTAGTCAAACCCTTTCAACTTGACTTGACAGTGAAGCTGGCTAAAATATCTAATATTTTACATCAAATATTTAAACCACTTTTAAACCCCCTGTGCAGCTTTAATGGTTGTAAACTTGAGAACAAATATTTACTTTTTCTCTCAAATTGTTTATATGCATTGCAGTACAGTGTACACCACTCTATAGTCTAAACTAAATTGTGTACATGAGAAATCCTTTGCTGCTGTACAGTATATTAATGTACTTTGTGTTAATGCTATTTAAAATTAGAAGTTTAATCATTTTTTTATGATCAGTCGGGCCTTACTGATCTTAAAAAGATAATTACAGTTGAAATAAATACATATATCAACTTAGTTATTGATCATTGGAATAAAAGCTTCAAAACTTAATGGGGTAAAAACGGTTTTGAATTAAGATTAAGAAATGTACGGATATTAGCTGCACACACCAAGCTAAAATAATTTTTTACTTGTTGGCGAAATTGTCTCTGTCAGAGGAATGGAGTCTTTGTCCAAATCTCAAATTTTCGAATCGCAACATCTAAGAGAAATCATAATTTTAAATTTCTAAGGTCTACGACATTGGGTTGCAAATTTAGAGTTAGCTTTTTTCCGGAAGAATTAATATGTCCAACCTTAAGAACGTCTAATTGTCTGGAAGTGTAAACTAAATCAAAATTATTTTATTCTGAAAAGAATTTCTACCTTTTTCAACGTTCGCCAATTTCAGGACTTCCTCCAGTCTCTTCTTCTGATGTAAATTTATTCTTGGTTTACAATATGATTTTTCAAATAGCTTTTGTAATTTGTGTTCCCTAAATTAGGGAGTGACCGGCTAGACATTGTAGTTGAGCTGAGAGTGCAGTATTGTAGAGACATTTTTTAGGATTCATTTGAGACCTACAACTAACGTTTATATGGTGGATAATTATTCAGCAAGAGCAATAATTCGATCTTTAAAATCCTCCCTGATTTTCCATTCTAGAGGCTTCATTTGAAAACTACTTAATAACTACAAAGGATAAAGTAACAGAAATTATACCCTCCCTTCCCCCCCCCCCCCCCACTTATTTCTACAATAATTTTTTATATTTTTTACGTGTTTTGATTTTTTCCAGCTATTTTTACATGAAATAATCGTTAACGTCATAAATAATATTGAGATCGTTAACTAACGGTATATTTTAAAAACAAGAGAAAATACTAACGAAACGAACGTTCCGTTCTTAGCTAAATAATGAAATTAAGTTTGCTGCCCCCACTAAGATAAAACAGTAGCTTTGCTAACGATTATGAATTTCAATTATAAATCTCAATCTCATCTACTAAAGAAAAAACGAACTTAAGAAATAAAACAATGGAATACCAATGTATTCTATATATATAATTCAGAACAATTTAAACTGGACTTTGTTCAGGGTTAAGAAAAAGGCCATAACCCATAATTGACATTTTAGTATTCCTGCAAATCTAATTCATGAGTCGTAAATTTTATTGAAATAGATTTCTATTCTATAAAATCTGTTCATACTCTATGTACATATAATTGAAAAGTATCTTAATATTAGATTTTAATCAATACCGTGAATCCGAACTATCACATACAGCGACTTAAACGTAGAGGAAATGAATATAAAAATAATATACCGTCTTCCATTGTGAAGGTTTATGTCATAAATTTCATAATTTTATACACTGCGTTGAATGAATTAAATTTTTAATGAAAATAATGCAAAACTAGAGTAAAGTGCAACCCAGAAAAGCTTCTATATAAGTTCTAAATATTTTTGTTCAAAATAAAATTGATATTCTGTTCTACAGTATTCCCGTCCTATATCCTGATATTCTGTTCTACAGTATTCCCGTCCTATATCCTGATATTCCGTTCTACAGTATTCCCGTCCTATTCTGATATTCTGTTCTACAGTATTTTTAAAGGGTTTAGTCGCGAAAGAGTAAAGCTAAGTAAAATATTTACTCTATAGATAGTCATTTTTAATTATTTTTCCTGTTGTAATATTTTTGACATCGGAGCAATGAGAAATTATTTTCGATGATTTTCGTTTTCTAGTTGAGTTTAAACTATACCGATGGAATTTTATAAAATGTTATAACACAATTTCTGGTTATTTCTAGATATAGCAAGTTTTTGAGAAGGCAAAAATTAAAACATAATTTATGTTAATTTAAATTGAAAAAATTATATTAGAAATAACCTAAATTTTTATTTCGAAAATTCAGAAACTTTATAGCACAGTATTTAACGTTATATGAAGATAATCTAACATTTTAGAACGATGATTTCCATATAGATATGTTATAATGAATTTAATCATAAACTGAGCCTGAATGATAAAGTGCACAATAGTTTCAAAAGATTACCGTCCATACAATACTAACTTTTTTTTTCGCAGTGCTATAGTTTTGGAACAGAAATTTTCTCCTTATTGAGAATGTCTACACTATAACAGTGTATAGGCTGTTTAACTGTTATCGTTATTTCAAGTTACCATTTATTTAAATTAGGAAAATCATAGAACAGGCGCGTAATGGAGGTTTAGCCTGAGGGGGATGCACGCGCGCGCAGAAATTTTTTTTTGTGCACCCCCTTAAGGTTCAATTGCACCCCCCTCCCCAAAAAAAACCCGGTATTAAGAAAAAATTAAGTTTAAAATCTATATTAATCTACCTGAATGCTGACTATTAGTCATCTGACCATAATTAACAATCATTTTAAATAAAACCCCGCGAAAAAAATATTGTAAATAAGATTTATGTACAAGAAAGAATTTGAGTATTAATCATAAAATGAACATATTGTGAGATTGTCGATTGATGAGAAAACTAAAAAAATCTGAAAATAGAGGGGTGCATGTCTAGGGGGGCACAGGGGTACCGCCCCCCCCTCCACTACGCGCCTGCGGCATATAAAAGATTATGAATCGATCAATTATTCTTGTTTGTTTTCTCCACTGAAAATGTTTTACCTTTTTGCAATGATATGCTAATCGTTTCCTAGAAATATACGGAGCGTCCCATATCATGTTAGATTATCTTCAATCTTTAACACCAAAATAAACCCTTAATACTCGAAAAACTTATCCTTTTCCGCAAGAAAATTCTTATATAAGCCTTATGTTATTTTTCAAAATGATTCATTCTAATGAAATTTTCTAATTAGTCCCGAAAATCGTAATTTAGACCCGTTCTCGGTCTAATATGATGTGGGACACCCTGTACCTAAATAATGATATGATAAAATAATTTAATGTAAAATACGTCTATGCCATGAATAATAATTATCTGCATTAAACCAGAAATATCCTGTTCCTTTCTATCTTTATATGAAAGTCTGCGCATTTAAAGAACAAAGCGTGCGCCCTACCATCTAGTGAATCCTGTTCAATATAAAACCAGGATTAGTATCTCAAGCTTTATCATTACTTCATTAATCTTCTACGACTAAATATGAAGGTAATTTACTATAGTTAATGGACTTTATTAATTAGAAAACGGTTATCGGCATTTTTTTAAACAAAATCATTATTATTGGTTTCCCGTTTATTGTCCAGCGCCTAAAAGGACTGTTAACTTCCCAAAGCGGTAACTTCCCAAGTGTATTTTCCCAAGTGACAACTTTCAAAATGTGCAAAATCCTAAATGGCAACTTCCTATGTCTCCTAGCCGCAGCGCTCGGCCATCCAGCCTGTTCTAATCGCAGGGCTCGGACCCTTAGCTCATCTAAGCCGCAGCGCTCGACCCCCACTGCAGCTTCAGAAGGTCTCACCTGACCTTTGGGAAGTTGACACTTGTGGAATTGTCGCCATTGTGAAAATACCTAAAATACCTAATATATATAATGCATTAAATCATGTTTTGAATACTTTTTTCTTATAATATTTATATATATATATATATATGTAAGGAACTTTTGAAAGCATTTTTCATACAATTGTATTTTTTAGGTGATCTTCTGCATCTTTATGCTTCTTGTTTTACTATCATTAGTAAATTCTAAACGTACACATCGTGTACGGTTTCCCTTCAAGTCTGGACCTAAACTTCGCCCCAAGCGCGACACAAGATTCAATATGGAGTCCAGGCTTATACAAGCAGCTGACCAGGAGATACAACCTCACCTGGAAGCACTGCAACTTTTGTAAAATGGTTTTTTAATAATCAAATTTATATTAACTATCTAATTTTTTTGGTCGATTGTGAGGTATAATTGCGCAAGATTTTGCACGCTTACACTAAACCTTCAACCTTTCAACAATGAATACCAGTTTATAATAATATAATAACCTTTAATTCAACTTTGTTTTATATAATTCGAAATAAATCAGTTAAATCAATTGTATTCACCTTTATCTATTGTTGTGTACAGGCACACAAATATTACTAAAATGGTTAAATGTTTTATATATACATACTAATTATAAGGGTTTACGTATAATTACTAGGTTATTAAGTACACGCACTTAATTACAGTCTACATTCATTACCTTGGATAATGTTTAGGAAAAACTTTCAATCAATATTTTTCTTAATATATTTCTAAGTTACACTGCAAACATGAAATGTTATCAATTCTTTTTTGTCTTCTTCTTAGTATATCCATGGTGGTCGAAGAAATACGGAAACCCTGAATATAACGGATGCCTGATCTTAGGTGTTCTTCTGCTCCTGAGCAGGGTAGAGTACTGATCAGGTTCTATCTCCAGGTGGTTGGAGAGGAGAAGATCATTGTTAGGGAAAATGTGTTTTCCTTGTCTTGGATAGGATACACATAGACCAACCAGTCCTAGTAGGACCAGGAGTACCTGGAGAATAAAATAAATATTAAAATTTCATCGATTGTAAATTCAAGGACATTAAAGATTCTATACAATCGTCTCTGAAGTCTCATCCCGTGAGAGTAACACTACCATATTTGAATATTTGCTATGTTGTAATGTTTTAACTCCTGTATTAAAATGTGTTAAGCAAAATCAATGCAGATAATTAAACTGCAGTTAATCTCTATGTGTTTAAGTAGATTTGGGATTTAATTCTTAAGGAAAGATGAAATAAAGAACAAGGTTAAAAGAATTAAGGACGCTTTTTATTTACGTAAAATGTCTTATTCAATGCTACACAAGGAGGGTTTTTTTTAGCAGTTGTTTTAGTAATCTAGACATCGTATTTTCCTGAATTTTCGACCGAATTTTTTTTCTCGCTTTTTCGTCACACGTATCAGGTTTATAAAAATGAACTTATTCGTATTATGTTTGGTAACATTAATGGTTTTTATTGATTTTTTGAATTTTATATAAGTTCATTGAATTTATGACATGAAAAATGCATTTTAAAGTAACTTGAAGCTGGAATTAAACCTAGGCTTATGTTGAACTGTAAAATGATGTCGACTGAGATAGTGAGAATGTTTTTCAAAGTTTTAAAACTAATTTTTCGTTGCTAAATCAACGAAAACCTTCAGAACTAGTATAGCTAAAAAAGTGGCAGAATTAGAGCTACGTGCATCAAAACTAAACCATTTTTCCGAAAATATTTTTCTTTTCTTACTAGTTGCGATGCGATGAAGAAGAGAAGGGGTTAAGGAATATGAGAGAGAAGAGAAGGTTTTGAAGGGATTGTATGAAAAAGAGAAGGATTTTAAAGGAATAGTATGGAAAAAGAAGGGTTGCAAGAAAAATGATGGAGAAGAACAGATTTCAAAAGAATAGGACGGAAATAAGAAGGTTTTAAAGGAATAGGAGGGAAAAAAGAAGGTTTTAAAAGAATAGGATGGAGAAGAGAATGTTTTTAAAGAATAGGATGGACAATAGAAAGTTTTAAACAAATAGAATGGAAAAAGAAATGAATAGAATGAAGAAGAGAAGGTTTTAAAATGAAGAAAAGAGAAGGTTTAATAGGATAGGATAAAGAAAAGAAGGGTTTAAAAAGAAAGATGGAGAAGTGACGGTTTAGGATTCAAAAGAGGTTTTAAAGGAATAGGATGGAGAAGAAATTTTGTTTATAGAAAAAGGATGAAGAAGAGAAGGGTGTGTAGAAAGAGGATGGGCAAGATAAAGTCATAAGAAATAGATTGGATAAGAGAATGTTTTAAATGGATAGGATGACAAAGAAAATGTTTTAAAGATAAGAAAAGAGAAGGATTTAACAGTATAGAATGGAGGGGAAAAGGAGACGAGAAGATTTTAGAAGAACGGGATGGAAAAGAGAAGGCTTTAAGGGACGAGGATGGAAAGAAAAGGTTTAAAAAGGAATAGAATTAAGAAGAGAAGGTTTTAAAGAGAATGGAGAATGGATGAATAAGAAGAGATTAATAAAAATGAAGAATGGAGAAGGGGAGGTATTAAAGGAACAGGATAGAGTAAAGAAGGCTTAAAACGAATAGGATTGAATTGATAAGGTTTTAAAGGAATAGGATGGAGAAGAGAAGGTTTTGAAGGTACAGGATGGAGAAGAAAAGGTTTTAAACGAATAGGATGGAAAAGAGAAGGTTTGAAAGGTAGATGATGGAGAAGAGAATGTCTTAATGAGCTAGGATGGAGAAGAGAAGGGTTTAAAGGACTAGGATGGAGAAGAGAAGGGGTTAAAGGAATAGGATGGAGAAGAGAAGGGTTTAAAGATATAGGATGGAGAAGAGAAGGTTTGAAAGAAATAGGATGGAGAAGGAATTGGATGTTTTAATTTAATTTATAATGAAAAATGAGCTGAGAAAATAATTCACTGACCTTTAGAAAAAATATACTTATAACAAATCCAGCTTTTACTGCATTTGTTTAAAATCGGGAACACTTTGAAGACGACCCTCAACGACTCAATTAAACAATTCAACTCACCACAGAATTCATTGTATATCTCTGGTTGAAGGAGAAATGAAATGAAAAGAATGAAAACTTGTTTTATATATGCATGAGCGCACAACACTAGATACTTGAGAGAACTACACATGCGCGCAGAATAAGGTTGAAAATTAAACTAGTTTTCACTGCAATTCCAACCTCTAATCTAATAGGTTAATAATTAATAATGCAGGGGGATTCAGGCTGTTTAATAGATAGAATCTGTCAACTTTACAATTACTTACAGACAGAATCTGTCAACTTTAACCTAATTAACAGGCAGAATCTGTCAACTTTAATCTTATTAACAGGCAACATATTTTATCTTTAAACTGAAGTTAAGAATATGTAACTTTTACTTTATTAACAGACAGAATCTGTTATCTTTAACATTATTAACAGACAGAATCTGTTATCTTTAACATTATTAACAGACAGAATTTGTTACTTTTAACCTTATTAACAGACAGAATCTGTAATCTTTAACCTTATCAACAGGCAGAATCTGATAGCTTTAACATTATTAACAGACAGAATCTGTTATCTTTAACATTATTAACAGACAGAATTTGTTACTTTTAACCTTATTAACAGACAGAATCTGTAATCTTTAACCTTATCAACAGGCAGAATCTGATAGCTTTAACCTTATTAACGGACAGAATCTGTAATCTTTAACATTATTAACAGACAGAATCTGTTATCTTTAACATTATTAACAGACAGAATCTGTTATCTTTAACATTATTAACAGACAGAATCTGTTACCTTTAACCTTATTAACGGACAGAATCTGTTATCTTTAACCTTATTAACGGACAGAATCTGTTATCTTTAACCTTATTAATGGACAGAATCTGTTATCTTTAACCTTAACAGACAGAATTTGTTACTTTTAACCTTATTAACAGACAGAATCTGTAATCTTTAACCTTATCAACAGGCAGAATCTGATAGCTTTAACCTTATCAACGGACAGAATCTGTAATCTTTAACATTATTAACAGACAGAATCTGTTAACCTTATTAAAGGACAGAATCTGTTACCTTTAACCATTTTAACGGGAAGAATCTGTTAACTTTAACCTTAAACACGGAAAGAATCTGTTATCTTTAAACTGATGTTAAGAATCTGTAACTTTCATGCAATGTTCAGAATGAGATCTCCAAGCGTTTCAAAATTAAAAGTAATTTTTGCTAGAAAGTTCATTGTTTCAAGCTCAAGCAAAAAAGGATTTCGCTATTAGCTATTACTATCATGTTTAAGGTAATTTCTAAAGGATTTCAAGCTCAAGCAAAAAAGGATTTCGCTATTAGCTATTAGTTGTTTAAGGTAATTTCTAAAGGATTTCAAGCTCAAGCAAAAAAGGATTTCGCTATTAGCTATTAGTTGTTTAAGGTAATTTCTAAAGGATTTCAAGCTCAAGCAAAAAAGGTTTTCGCTATTAGCTATTAGTTGTTTAAGGTAATTTCTAAAGGATTTTTATTTTAAACTTGATGCTTAACTTTATATTACCTTGCATAAAGATGCAGATATCAAGAATTAAAAAATGATGGGCCATTTTATTTCGTCCAATAATGGAAATATCTAAGAGAAAACAAACAAAAACAATTTAAACTCGTTATTTAAGAGATAAGTGTAGGTGGTAAAGGAACTGAATTCTTGCCTCTAAATCTGATTTTCTCATCCACACAAGGTTATAATGCAAGGAAAGTTAATTGCGGTCGTGTATACTCTGCGTACATATTGAAACCAGTTCTCTTTGGGCGGAATTTGTAAACAAGAATAGATGCATCAGTGTTCGTTTAGTATCCGAGGAGGTTAAAAGCATTAAATTTGCTAATTTTGATAATTCACATAATAGTTTCCTACGACCAGAATATTTCATTGATTTTTTTATGTGAAAAATGGATCCCATGTCAGGCGGTAACATCCGTCTTGTGTTTACATTACCGCCCAGAGACAGTACACCGCAGTACAAAAGATGTGTACACTTCTGAAATAAATTTCTTTGCATTACATCTTTGCATCCACATATCTTTGCAGCCTGGGACCGGATTCAATTATTAACGAGAAGTAGTTGAACCGCGTACCGCAGGTTCAACCAGTTCTTTTTTTGCGCTGGGTCAGGCTGAATGGTAGTGGTACATTTTATCAACGTAGTTAAACTGTTTCATATATTCATTAAACCTGATCCATTAGCGTATACATAGATCGTATAGTTCATTGACATTTAAAACTAAATTTTAAGTAATCAAATTGTTTGAAACATAAAAGATTTAGAAAAGACAATTATTTAGTTGCTTAATAAACTTTTTCTCTTTACAACCTTTAAAAAACATCTGCTTAAACTCAAATCATTAAAACAAAATACCTGTTTATTAATCTAAATATATCTCATTAACAAATTGAGTATATCATTAATCAGCGAAAACTGGATTAGTTTTAGATTTTAGATATTTCCTTCGTTCCACAACAATATTAGAATATTTTTTATAGTTCATCTAA